TATATTTTAGATATTAACCCCTTATCAGATAGATGGTATACAGGTGTTTTCTCCCAATCTGTGAGTTGTATCATCTGTCTGCTAATTGTTTCCTTTGCTGTGCAGAAGCTTTTTAGTTTGATACTATCCCATTTGTCTGTTTGTGATTTTGTTGCCTGTGTTTGGAGTCCTACCCAAGAAATCATTGGCCAGAACAGTGTTGTGAAGCTTTTCCCTTATGTTTTCTTCTAGTGACCTTACTCTTTGAGATCTTCTGTTTAAGTCTTTAATTCATTTTGAGTTGGTTTTTGTACATGTTGTGAGAATAAGGTTCAGTTTCATTCTTTTGCATGTGGATATCCAGTTTCCCAGCACCACTTACTGAAGAAACTGTCCTTTCCCCATTGTGTGTTCTTGGAATCTAAGTTGAATATTGTTTTATTTTAAATGCTTGGATTAATTTCTGGACTTTATATCCTGTTCCCTTGGTTGGTGTGTCTGTTTCTATGTCAGTATCATGCTGTTTCTATTAAATAAGCTTTATCATACCTTTTAAAATCAGGGAGAATGATGCCTCTAGCCTCATTGTTTTTGCACAAGATTGTTTTAGTTGTTTGAGGTCTTTTCTGGTTTCATTTGAATTTTAGGATTTTTTTTCTATTTCTGTGAAAAATGTCATTGAAATTTTCATAGAGATTGCATTAGATCTGTAAATATCTTTGGGTAGAATGGACATTTTTGACATTGAGCGGCTGAATGGATGAAAAAACGTGACCCAATAATATGCTGCCTACAGGAGACACTCATCATCTCTAAGGACACCCATAGACTGAAAATAGAGAGTTGGAAAGACATATTCCTTACAAATGGAATCCAAAAGAGAACAGGAGTAGTTTTGTTTATATCAGATATAAGAGACTTGAAAAAGTGAATAGTGACAAAAAACGTCACATGTAATGATAGAGATGTTAGTTCATCAAGAAGTTTGGCAGTTGTAAATATATATGCACCCAACATTGGAGCATCAGAGCACCTAAATATACAAGGCATATATGATAAAAACTGAAGGGAGGGAGGGAGGGAGGGAGGGAGGGAGAGAGAGAGAGAGAGAGAGAGACAGAGAGACAGAGACACTACAACTCCAGTACAATAACAGGAGACTTCACTACCTCACTTTCAACATTGGACAGATTATGTAGACAGAAAATCAATAAGGAAACATTGTACTTAAACCACATTTCAGACTAATTGGACCTAATAGACATTTATAGAACATCTCAGCTCAAGTACATGTGGAATATTCTCCAGGATAGATCATATTTTAGGACACAAAGCAAGTCTTAACAAATTTAAGGAGATTGAAATCATATTAAGCATCTTTTCTAATCACAATGGCATGAGACTAAAAATAACAGGAGGAATCTTGGAAGGCTCACAGATGTATGCAAATTAAGCAACCTACTTCTGAAAACCATGAGTCGAAGAATAAATTAAAAGGGAAATTGAGGCAAATGAAAATGGAAACACAACATACCAAAACTTATGGGATGCAGCAAAAACAGTCCTGAGAGGTAAGTTTATAGCAGTAAACATTAAAAAAGATAGAAAATATTGACATTGAACCTCAAGGAAGTAGAAAAAGATGAACAAAGTATGCCCAACCTTAGCAGAAGGAAGGAATAAGGAAGATCGGAGCAGAAATAGACAAGATAGAGACTTGAAAAACAACAGAAAAGATTAACAAATCTTAAAGTTGTTTTTTTGAGAAGATGAACAATATTGACAAATTTTTAGGTAGACTTAAGAAAAAAACAAAAGACTCAGAATCAGAGATGAAAATGGAAACTGAACAGACCAATAACAAATAATGAGATTGAATTGGTAGTAAAAAGTCTTCCATCAAAGAAAAGCTTAGGACCAAATGGCTTTTCTGTTGAACTCTACCAAACATTTAAAGCAGAACTTACACCAGTGTTTTTCAAACTCTTCCAAAAAATTGAAGAGGAGAGAATACTTTCAAATTCATTTTATGAGATCAGCATTACCCTGATACCAAATTCAGACAAGGATACTACGGGAAAACTAAAGGCCAATATGCCTTTTGAGCGTAGATGCAAAAGGCTGGGTGCAGTGGCTCATGCCTGTAGTCCCAGCACTTTGGGAGGCCGAGGTGGGCAGATCACTTGAGGTCAGGAGTTTGAGACCAGTCTGGCCAACATGGTGATGCATCCCTGTAATCCTAGCCACTTGGGAGGCGGCGGCAGGAGAATCACTTGAACCCAGGAGGCGGAGGTTGCAGTGAGCCAAGATTGTGCTACTGCACTACAGCCTGAGTGAATGAGTGAGACTTGATCTAAAAAAAAAAAAAAAAAAAAAAAACAACGCACAAGTCCTTAACAAAATACTAGCAAACTGAATTCAACAGCACATCAAAAAGGTCAATCACTGTGATCAAGTGGGATTCATCCCTGGGATGCAAGATTGGCTCAGGATATGTAATTCAGTAAATGTGGTGCACAATATTAACAAGAGGAAGGGCAAAACCTGCATGATCATTTTAATAGATGCAGAAACAGTATTTGACAAAATTCATGATAAAATCTCTCAACATAAGAGGTATAGAAGGAATGTATCTCAGCTGGGCAAGGCGACTCATGCCTGTAATACCAGCACTTTGGGAAGCTGAGGTGGGTGAATTATCTGAGGTCAGGAGTTCTAGACCAGTGTGACTAACATGCTGAAACCCCGTCTCTAATAAGAAGATGCCCATTCTCGCCACTTATATTCAATGTAGTATAGGAAGTCTGAGCCAGTGCAATTAGGCCAGAAAATGAAAGAAACAAAATGCATCCATATAGTAAAAGAAGGAGTGAAATTTTCTGTTTTCTGATGACATGATCTTATATGTAGAAAACCCTAAAAATCCACCAAAAGAACCCTCTTAGAACTGATATACAAATTGAGTAATGTTGCAGATTACAAAATTAACTTGACAATCTGCATTGTTTCTATACTCTAACAATGAACTATCCAAAGAAATCAAGGAAATAATTCCATTTATGATAGGACCTAAGAAAGTACTTTGGAGTAAATTTAAGTATAGGCGAAAGAGCTGTATAGTGAAAACTATAAAACATTGATGAAAGAAATTGAAGATTCAAATAAATGGAAAGGCATCCAATGCTCATGGATTTGCTTTCTATCTCCTGCAGCTCCCCTTCTCAGAACTGCTTTTCTGTTTGTTTTTTTTTCTTTTTTCCTTCTATTGGTAATGATGTTTTTTGCTTTTATACTGCAAGCAGTGATTTTAATCTGGGGCAGTTTCTTACCCTAGACAACATCTGGAGATATTTTTGTCATAACTTAGTGTTGGGGGGATCCTGCTAGCATCTAGTGGGGACAGGTGAGAGATGCTGCAAAACACCCTACAATGGAAAGTCCCCATAGCAAAGAATCATTCAACAGAGAGTATCAATAGTTTCAAGGTTGAGAAGCCCTGCCATAACCTGTCTCCACTGCATCTACCTGCAAAGTATGAAGAGACAAAAGCCAAGCAGAAGTAATGGTTAATTGTTTTAAGGAACTCAGAGCAGTAAGAAATGTTTCATTGGACAAGGAAGTTTTCTGAAGTCCCAAATTAGGGTACCAGCCCTTCCTATCTTGGAGTCATAGATTTTCTTGTGATTGAGATGGTAACACCTGCCAAAAAGAAATCCTCTTGCCTGATACTGATGCTTATGCAGTTCCTCCCATTATTTACTCAGCATCTTGCAGTATTACATAGCTACTCAGGTCTCTTATGTGTTCTAATTGTTTATATTCAACATGTCACTGATTTTGCTATTCATTATTCATTTTTTGTCATTTTGTCAGTTAAAATGGCCAGTGGATCTGCCTTTGCCTGAAAGAAAGACTTCATTGCTCTTAAAATTGTGAGATGTTGAAAGATTTAATATTTTTGATTGTGGCATGGTTCTAATCATACTAATCTAGCTAGAACTCAGTTCTTGCTTTAATCTTGCCCTGCTTGAACATGAAGCTATTTTCATTTTGTACTGTATTATTTATGCAGTGTGGTAAAATGTCACTTTGCCTCAAGGTGACCTTTGAAGTTATAGGGAGTCTATGTTTTGATTAAAATATATTGTGTGGGGTATTAAGCATTTTTAGTGTATAAGGGAAGATGAAGGTGTTCACAGGGCAAGTGGGTGGCTGTAAAGTTTTACATAGAGATCAAGATTTGTTTTTTAGATATGAGCAGAATCCACCTGGTAATTGGAGAAGAATTATGTAGACTTACGATATATTATGTCATTTTTTAAGAAAATGGAGAACAAGGCAAAGCGAACAAGAAAAAAGAAATGAGACAGGACCTAAAATGACTTCATAGGAGATGAAGCCTTTAAAGTTCAGTGTTAACTAGAGGGAGAGCCTCTAAATTCAGAAACCAAAAGGAAAGAACCCGTAGAAAAACCTAGGTTGTTTGCAACATAAAATCTTTGTAACATCATAGATTCCTTATCTTTTCACTGTATAGTTTTTTTTACTTGTATTACTCTTGAATTTTTAGGGGCAGTCATACATGTGGTGGATAGGTGTGAGGAGGTAGGACAAGAATTTATGAAATTCCTGTATAATTTTTTAGAGAAATACACTTAACCAAGTACAGTTTTATTCTAAAATTTCTTCATGTTATAGAAAGATTTACCTATGTATTTAAAATGACAGTCTCTTTGACTATAGCATACCAAGAAAAGCAAAGTGAGAATGTGCTTGAGAAACCACAGTAAGCCAAGCAGAATATCAGACCTTTGGGATTTAATGGAAGAGTATTCTTGGTGCTTTCTTGTAGTAAACTGGAGTTCATAAAATCCTGAACTATGTAAGGGAATTTAGACTTCTCACAGGGCAGAATTGCTATAATATATGTACTCTGTTTTGTCTCATCTTAATATTTATGACTTAATTTCATGAAATCAGTTTCACTTTTAAGTTTTAAGTTAATTTCTTATTTTTTTCAGTGAATATCACCTCTGCCAGGCAATTAACCGGATGTAGTCGCTTCGGTCATATTTTCCCTTCATCTGCTTACCAGCACATTAAGATGCATAAGAGAATTCTGGGGCACTTGTCATCTGTCTACTGTGTAGCATTTGACCGAAGTGGGAGAAGAATTTTTACAGTGAGTTTAAAATTTATAATATGGTAACATATATAGAATTACAACAATTGAAGCCAGACTGCATGGCATGGCATTGCGATTTGTAAGCAGTTCACCTTTTTTGGATATATGGGTGCAGAAAAAGATGAGTGGAAATTGAAAAATTTTTCTCATTTTGTATAAGTAAACGAGTGAACGAAAATGTTTACTATCTTCTTGGAAGTTTAATTTAACAAAGTTAAATCTTCAGAAGACCTTATATTCTAGAAGTGGTTAATTGATGTGAACCAAGTGTACTCTATTTCATTTCATTCAATTTTAACAAACATTTATTAAAATGCACTTCCGTGTGTCACTTGGTGTAATTGCTGCCAGTTTTGCCTAAATAATGATTTCATGACATTTTTTTGATTAGATAGTTGAACTACACCGTAATGAAGCTTATAGCTATTTTTTATATCTTTTTCTTCGTTTTAGTACTGTTTATTTTTTAAGCTGAACTTTTATTAAGCAGATAATACTGTATGCTTTTGAGTACAAAATTGTAGTACACCAGTATTTCCAAAAAAAAAGCTTAGTCTCATTGCTTTAGTATTAACATAGAAGTGTGGGTAATAGCATAATTTTATTTTTATATTTGTATGCTACAACAAATGAAGCGGAAGTTATTCGGGAAGTTATTACACCTTAGAGTTTATTTTGGACTCTTCCATTAATTACTTAATGACTCTAAATGCATCACATACGTATTTGGATGTTAGTGATCATGATGAGGATGATGAATGCTATATTTTAATAAACAGATAATTGTTAAGTAACTTTTCTACCGTAGTAGAGTAGAATTGCTCTTTACAGTTCACTCTTCTGAAATTCTCAAAAGGAACTTTAATATATTTTTACCAGAAATAATCATTAACTGCTAGCCTCATGTTTACTGAGAAATGCATGTAGACTTTAGGTTAAATTCTGAATAATTTGTGGAAAAAATATTTAAAGAATTTAGAAAAAAGGCTGTCAGGTCTAAAGAAAGAAATGATGGTAAAAATGCTTAATGCCAAATCACTAAAAAGTGAGTTTAAAATATCTTGAGTTGTCAGGATTGGTGGTAATTTTGAAAAGTTCTTCATAAATGCCATCGTCACTTTGGAAAATGCTTTGTTATTGCTGTCATTTGGACATCATTTATACTTGCTACTGGATCCCTATTATATGTAGAGAGGAGACTAAAGAGGAAAGACTTAGAAGTAATTTAATAAAATCTTCTTTTTGGCTGTTTTTTGGGTGGGGGGATTGTGGTGAATTTCTGCTTCATTATAAATCTATTGTCCTTTTGTTACTATAGGGTTCAGATGACTGTTTAGTAAAAATTTGGGCTACAGATGATGGACGTCTTCTTGCTACACTTCGTGGACACTCTGCTGAAATTTCTGACATGGCTGTTAACTATGAAAACACTCTTATTGCCGCAGGCAGCTGTGATAAGGTAGTAAGAGTATGGTGTCTTCGAACTTGTGCACCCGTTGCAGTCCTTCAGGGCCATTCAGCTTCTATTACTTCCATACAGGTAAGAAAAGTGATAAAATTTACCTCAAACATATGTAATAAAGGTGAGAATTCTCTGATTTCATGTTACATTGTATAGATAATAGCCCAACTAATAGCAAGAGAAAAATGCTCTCTTCTGGACTTTGCTCCTACCCTGCAGCAAGGTATTTTTTTAAGTTCCTTTTTCATATAATTCTCTTTTTAAAAAAATAAGTAAAAAGATGATTTAAAGAGTCCTATAAATAGAGTGAGACATCTTATTTGTATTTGTTAAGGAGGGAGAAAACCTGTAAATGCCTTAAGAGCACACTCTTTCCTTTTAGAATATAAACGGGTTCTAACTTGAATATTGGCATACCTTGTATTAATATTTAATGCAAGATGTTTGCCAGTCAGATTTAGTATGTGTGTGTCTGTTTTTAGGTTAATATGAGAGGAATTTTTATTCTTAGTTTCAGTGATTTTTTTGTTTATTTCAATTTGATGTGTTTTATTTTGTTTTGTTGTCACCCATGCTGGAGTGCAGTGGCGGGATCTCAGCTCACTGCAACCTCCACCTCCCAGGTTCAAGTGATCTTCCCACCTCCACCTCCTGAGTAGCTGGGACTACTGGCATGCGCCACCACATCTGGCTAAATTTTGTATTTTTTGTAGAGACGGGGGTTCACCATGTTGCCCAGGCTGGTCTTAAACTCCTGGGCTCAAGCGCAATTCCTCTGGCTTTGGCTTCCCAAACTGCTGGGATTACAGGCGCATGAGCCACTGCACTCAGCCTCAATTTGATTTGTAATGTAGAATATGTTGGCTGCTTTTAATACTTGTCCACATACTGGTTTTACCAGATGTTGGTAGTGAAAGTCATGGATGATTTTAAAATATTTTTTATTTAATAAAACTAATGAAACTGAACTTTTGTCCTCTGCTTTGTATTGAGAGGAAAACAGAGGAATCTTAAAAATTTTACACTTTGGAGAAAGAGACCACTTTTGGAGGAGATAATTACTCCCATTTACTTTTGTTTATTCTTTAGGAAATCATAAGTATGCCATTTTTTGGTGTTATTTAAATAATATGTCATCTTTTTATGGGGAGCTAGCAAGAATTGGGTTCAGTGTATGTTGAATTTGAAAAAGTTCATGTCAAAATTTTGATTATTTGAAATTATTTCATGGATTTTGATTTGGGAGATTATCAGTTACTTGTGATCTCACTATCATATCTGACTGATTATTTCTGGAATTTGGACATACTGTCATATGCCACTGAAAAAAATCATTTTATTATAGTAGTCCCCCTTATCTGCAGTTTGGCTTTCCAAGGTTTCAATTACCCACCGTCAGCCATAGTTTGAAAATAGGTGAATGCAGTGCAATTACATACTTTGGGAAAGAGACCACATTCATATAACTTTTATTACAGTGTATTGTTATAATTTTATAGCAGTATTATAAGGTATTATTTGTTAATTTCCTACTGTGCCCAATTTATAAATTAAGCTTATCATAGGTATGTAGGCACAGGAAAAAACAGGGCTTGGTACTATTCAAGGTTTCAGGCATCCATAGGAGGTCTTGACATGTGTCCTCTGCAGATTATTTAGTAATAATGAAAAATATTTATGATACTGTTGTTTTTTTTCATAGTTTCATTTGCTAGTTTGTTTTCTCATTTTTTTTTTTTTTTTTTTTTGAGATGGAGTCTCGCTCTGTCACCCAGGCTGGAGTGTAGTGGTGCGATCTCGGCTCACTGCAAGCTCGGCCTCCCGGGTTCACGCCATTCTCCTGCCTCAGCCTCCTTAGTAGCTGGGACTACAGGTGCCCGCCACCACGCCCGGCTAATTTTTTGTATTTTTATAGAGACGGGGTTTCACCATGTTAGCCAGGATGGTCTCGATCTCCTGACCTCGTGATCTACCCGCCTCGGCCTCCCAAAGTGCTGGGATTACAGGTGTGAGCCACCGCACCCAGCCTTTTCTCATTTCTTTTACATATTGTAGTGCCTTAGAGATCGGTAGACCTTTCTATCATACTCTTTCTCTTAGTCATCTCATGGTTTTGAATTTCATCTGTAAACTGATGATTTCAAACTTCCATCTCCATTTAGGAACTATCTTTTAGCTTCATACTTGTTTATGCAACTATCTTCTTGGAATCATCACATGTATGTCTACTAGGTATTTCAAACTCATTATATTCAAAATTGAATTAATTTTTCTTCCTCGTATCTCCCCAAGCCTTTTCATCCAAACAAATGGCAATACCCTGCTTTCAACTGCTCAGAGTAGTCATCCCTTTTATCTTTCTCTTATATTTTGTATCTAAAACTTGTCAGCAAGTCATGTTGGTTCTACCATCAAACTGTATCTAGAATCTGGCAAATTCTCATGACCTCTATTATTGCTATCCTGTTTTAAGGCACTATCATCTGTAGTCTAGATTATTGAAATAGACTTCTAACCGATCTGCCTGCATCTTCCATTCCCTTTCTCCTGCCCCTTCCATTCCCTTTCCCCTGCCCCAGTTTAGTCTCTCAGTTTAACAGACAAAGTTATTTTAAAATGGCAGTTAAATCATGTCACTGGTGCTCAGGACCATCAGTAGCTTCCAATCTCAGAGTTAAAACTGAAGTCTCCACAATGCTCTGTATTCTCAGCCTCCTTGGTGCTCTTCAGTCTCATCTACTGCATGTTTGCCTTTTTCACTCTGCTTAACTGCTGGCCACTTTGCTTTTCTTGAACATTCTAGGTGTACATGGCTGCTTTGGCTTTTACTGTTTCCTGTCTCTGGAGTGGTCTTCCCTGGATATTCACATAGTTTGTTTTCTCAGTTTGTATGTGCTTTGTGCACATGTCACCTTCTCAGGGAGACCTCTGACCACCTTATTGCTCTGATTAAAATTGTAAACCACCGCCCCCTAGCCCCCTCCACTGTGTGCACAGCAACTCTGTATCTTCCCTTCTGTTTCATTTTTCTCTGTAGTAATAGTCATCTTTTGGTATTCTTTATATGTTCTTTATTATTTGTGTATTGACTGTCTTTATTAACATCAGTGATATACTCCCATGTTTTGTATTTTTTTAACAAAATTTAGTTAGAATGGTATGATGCTAATAGTGGTTACCACTGAATGGCAGAATTACATGTTACTTTTTTTCTGTTTTTCCACATTTCCTAAATTTTCTACAGTAGGTATGTATTAATTTGTCAGAAATACAAAAATAAATGTTATATTAAACAATCCGTAACATGGTTTCTCATTTAAAACAATTCTATTAAGGCACATTAATGGGCCAGATCCCCCTTTGTGATTGATGAAGCAATTTTAATGCAATGGAGATAAAGGTTTCAATGTTTCTTCACTTTATAAAATTATACTATTTCATATTTAATTGTCTAATTCCTGTAAATCTAAGATCAGCAAATATACAGGCCAGATAGTAAATATTTAGGCTTTGCATGTCATACAGTCTCTGTCACAACTGCTCGGCTCTGTTCCCATAGTGCAAAAGCAGCCATAGACAGTGTAAGGTGACTGTGTTCCAATAACGCTATATTTACAGAAACAGGCAGCAAGCTGAATTTGGTGTGTTGGCTGTATTTGTGGATTACTGCTGTAGATTTTAGAGTAAGCTTTTGTTGTTGTTGTTGAGACAGAGTCTTGCTGTGTGACCCAGGCTGGAGTGCGGTGGTATGATCTCGGCTCACTGCAACCTCCGCCTTCTGGCTTCAAGCGATTCTCATGCCTCAGCCTCCTGAGTAGCTGGGATTACAAGCATGTGCCACCATGCCCAGCTAATTATTTTATTTTATTTTTTATTATACTTTATGTTCTAGGGTACATGTTCACAACGTGCAGGTTTGTTACATATGTATACATATGACATGTTGGCGTGCTGCACCCATTAACTCGTCATTTACATTATGTATATCTCCTAATGCTATCCCTCTCCCATCCCCCCACCCCACAACAGGCCCCAGTGTGTGATGTTCCCCTTCCTGTGTCCAGGTGTTCTCATTGTTCAATTCCCACCTATGAGTGAGAACATGCTATGTTTGGTTTTTTGTTCTTGTGATAGTTTGCTGAGAATGATGGTTTCCAGCTGCATCCATGTCCCTACAAAGGACATGAACTCATCCTTTTTTATGGCTGCATAGTATTCCATGGTGTATATGTGCCACATTTTCTTAATCCAATCTGTCGTTGTTGAACATTTGGGTTCGTTCCAAGTCTCTGCTCTTTTGAATAGTGCTGCAGTAAACATGTGTGCATGTGTCTTTATAGCAGCATGATTTATAACCCTTTGGATACATACCCAGTAATGGGATGGCTGGGTCAAATGATATTTCTAGTTCTAGATCCTTGAGGAATTGTCACACTCTCTTCCACAATGGTTGAACTAGTTTACAATCCCACCAACAGTGTAAAAGTGTTCCTATTTCTCTACATCCTCTCCAGCACCTGTTGTTTCCTGACTTTTTAATGATTGCCAATCTAACTGGTGTGAGATGGTATCTCATTGTGGTTTTGATTTGCATTCCTCTGATGACTAGTGATGATGAGCATTTTTTCATGTGTCTGTTGGCTGCATAAATGCCATAGGCATGGACAAGGACTTCATGTCTAAAACACCAAAAGCAATGGCAACAAAAGCCAAAATTGACAAATGGGATCTAATTAAACTAAAGAGCTTCTGCTCAGCAAAAGAAACTACCATCAGAGTGAACAGGCAACCTACAGAATGGGAGAAAATTTTTGCAATCTACTCATCTGAAAAAGGGCTAATATCCAGAACCTACAAAGAACTCAAACAAATTTTTTATTTTTAATAGAGACGGGGTTTTGCCATATCAGCCAGTCTGGTCTCAAACTCCTGACCTCAGGTGATCTGCCTGCCTCGGCCTCCCAAAGTGCTGAGATTACAGGTGTGAGCCACTGCGCCCAGCCAGATTAAGCTTTTTAATGCAAATTTCTCAATCTCAGAAATGAAAATATAGTTAACCCTTTGTATCCGTAGATTCTGCATCTGTGGCTTCAACCAGCTGAGGAACAAAAGTCATTTGAAAAAAATTAATCTTCCTACTGAACATGTACAGATTTTTTTCTTGCCATTATCCCTTAAATAATATAGTATAACAACAAATCACTACAACATTTATATTGTATTAGGTATTATCAGTAATCTAGAGATGATTTGAAGTATACAGGAGGATGTACATATGTTATCTGCAAATACCATACCATTTTATATCAGAGACTTGAGCATCTGCTGATTTTGGTATCCATGGGAGGTCCTGGAAGCATCTCAGTGATACCAACAGAGGACTATATAGGCATGAGTCCTGGTTTCTTTACTGCACATCAGTTATTAATGGATAATATTAATGAGTAATTTTTGTTTGAATTCATCTCTGTTGTCTTTAGAAGTTCTGTGCTTCCAAACAAAGAAGCTAAGTAAATTACTTCTAATATCTATAATGATAATTTTCTTTTGATTTGCATTCAAAATGTATTCAAACCCTATACATCTTAATCCTTAGTCATCATCTCAGTGGAAATGTTTAATTATCTTCATTTGGGATTTTAAAAACTCACTGACATGTAGGAAACTCTTGTCCAATTTTCAGCTTTTTCCTGTGTCCCAGACATCAGGAGCTCAGTTGTTCTTTTTCCTTTTCTGTGATTCTTTTCTGAGGATATGTAAAATACTGAGAGTAAGAGCCTGAGAAGCCCACATGATAAAGGCCTTGATCCTTCTGACATATTAGTAGTCCTCTATATTGACAACTTAAGTTTTTTTTTTAACTTGATCTCCATTTTTCCACAATGATATGATATGAATAATGATTTGACCTATTTTACATTATTTATGGAAACAAATGGCTTACATCTAAAAAGGACAAAATTATATACTTCATTGAATGAAACTGGATTTTAAAGTGAAAAAATAATAAAACCAAATACTTGGATATTAACTTCCCAAGTGTTTTTAGATTTACTTCTAATCCTCTGTCCATCTGAACTATAAAAATTCCACAGTTGTTTCTATAAGTGTATATATAGCACATTTGTAAAGTTTTAAATAGTAATGCGCTTGTGAGTTTATTCTCCACTGAAAGTGATTAAAAAATCTTAAAGTGTAATATTAAATAATTTAAAAGTAATTTTTTTATAACTAAAACATTTTATCCAAAGTTCAGTTACTTTTTCTATAGTTTTTTGATATTTTTAAATTTTTAATAAGGTATTTATTAATCTAGGAAAGTAAAATAGTCCCTTGACAAAAATTTTTAACTGAATTTATTGAAATTATATTTGTTAAATGATTACAATTTAAAAATACTCTGTGTTTGATGTTAGGCTGAACATGAAAACTTTTTATTTGAATCATATATATATATATATTTTTTTTTAAGTTTTGTCCATCAACTAAAGGCACAAACAGATACCTCACTTCTACTGGTGCTGATGGAACAATCTGTTTCTGGCAATGGCATGTCAAAACAATGAAGTTTAGGTAAGTTTAGAAATTTTGTGAAAAATTAATCATGTTAATTTTTATCTATTGCCTTGATTCTTAATAGTCCATGTATTTAGATATATGTATATATATTTATATATGTGTATGTGTATTTGTGTATACATATCCATACCTACTTCAATAGATAAAGAGATTTTAGGATAAATTTTTTTTGATATTAATGTTGAAGAGACAATTTATATAGAAAATTCTGGTAGAATTTTATTTGTTTCATTTCTTACTTTGGTAAGAAATCTCATAATGGTAGTAGTAAGTAATATGGTTAATAAAACTGTAGTAATACTGATATCATAAATGATGTTTGCAAGGTTAAATGCATTTTTAACCTAATGGATGGGAATAGTACTTATTGACCACATTCCTTTTGTTTTTTCTGTAATATTGATGCTAAATCGATCAGTATCCAGTAGTGTGCTAACATTCTGGCCCATTAGCTAAACATGATGAAACATAAAAATACCTTATTTTTCCTCTTTAGAGATCGCCCAGTGAAATTTACTGAGAGATCCAGACCTGGAGTCCAGATATCTTGTTCATCTTTCAGTTCTGGTATGTGTAAAACTAGAATGTTTTGAGCATCTGGAATATTAAACGATCCAGTTGTAAAAACAGATTATGTGATTTATGAATAAAAAGATACACATTTGAGTGTTAATTGAAGGATATCAAAAATCTGAACCATGTGTTATGATAGATAAACTCTTTTGGACTCTAAGTAATGTGTAAGGTTGATTTTTTTTTTTCCTTATTCATAATTTAATACATTTTTATATAATGGTGATTTTGCTTGGTAAAAACAGACCCCCTACTCTAAATATCCACTAACAAAAAAATTTACTTCCCCCACAATCAACACAAAAATTCTGCCCTGAGTTACAAAAAAACATGTACTGTTGCTCCATATTGAAAACTCTTTTACAGTGCTTTTTCTACTGCTAAGAATCCTACATTAGTTAACCTTTTTTTTCTCCTTTTTTTGATTGTGGTGAAATATACAGAACTTAAAATTTTATCATTTTAGTCATTTTTAAGTGTACAGTTTGTAACTTTAAGTATATTCACATTGTTCTGCATCTGTCACACCATCCATCTCTAGAACTTTTTCATCATCCCAAAAGCAGTTGACTTTTTACACTCAACCACTATGGCCACGGTAAAGAGAATTGTAGATAAATTGTCTTTTTTTTTTTTTTTTTGAGACGGAGACTCGCTCTGTCGCCACTATGGCCACGGTAAAGAGAATTGTAGATAAATTGTCTTTTTTTTTTTTTTTTTTTTTTTTTTTTTTTTTTTTTTTTTTTTTTTTTTTTGAGACGGAGACTCGCTCTGTCGCCCGGGCTGGAGTGCAGTGGCCGGATCATAGCTCACTGCAAGCTCCGCCTCCCGGGTTTACGCTGCCTCAGCCTCCCGAGTAGCTGAGACTACAGGCGCCCACCTAGTTTTTTGTATTTTTTTAGTAGAGGCGGGGTTTCACCGTGTTAGCCAGGATGGTCTCAATCTCCTGACCTCGTGATCCGCCCGTCTCGGCCTCCCAAAGTGCTGGGATTACAGGCTTGAGCCACCGCACCCGGCCGATAAATTGTCTTATAAATAATTTTGGAACATTACATTTCTAAATAAAGAAATGAATTCCTCAAGGATGTGTTCTTTAATGTTTATGATCATAGGCCTGTATTCAGTGTATATATAGTTTGTAGATTTTGTTGGATGAATGATATAGTTTTACATTTTCTCTGAATCACTAGTATGTCTCCAATAATTAGAAGACAACCTTGTGTTTCTTGAAGCCTTTTTACTAATGCAAGGTGTAGCATACAACTAAGGAAGTAATGAGATGGTTTTTAGGGTTCCTTGGTACTATGTTTTGTTTTGTTTTTTAATCTTCTAGGCGGTATGTTCATTACAACTGGTAGTACTGACCATGTGATTAGAATATATTATTTGGGTTCTGAGGTTCCTGAGAAAATTGCTGAATTAGAGTCACATACGGTAAGAGAAAATCAGAAACAGTTGCTTTATTTTTGAATATCCTTGGAAAGTTTATTTCATTTCTTTTCTGATGTGTACCATAGTAATATATACAAATCACAAAGTTTGGCTTACACTTTACTCTTGTCATCAGTACTATACATACTAGTAAAAGTATGAGTTAATTATTCTAAAAGATTTTAAATAGCAGTCTCTAAACTATGGTACTTATAGACTGTCAGATGATTCCATTGGAAAATAATTAGATAAATGATGTGGGAAACAGGAAATGATTATTTTCAAAAATTAATAAAATTACGTGGAAAATCTAATGCAACTACTATTAAATTAACTATTTTAAGGTGTTATCTTACATTAGTGTGCTGTCTTATTATGGAGAACGTAATAAACTAATATCTATTCAGAAGTATTTGTCTCTTGAGATATGGTTTATAAGGTTTCCCTATGTCTGGTTTGTTTCCTATTACTGCCAATAAGCAGTCCTCATTAGTTAGTACATTGTTTTGGGCCTCATTGAAATTAAAAAAAAAAAAAATCTACTTCATGATGTTTTTACCTATGAATTTGAGAGAAAGAGCACTTAATTCATTTTACAAATAAGTCCATTTTAACCAAAAATCTGTTTTATGTCTTAGGATAAAGTTGTTGCTGTTCAGTTCTGTAACAATGGAGACAGGTAATTATGTAATACATATTTGTGTAAACAGATGTTTGATATATGTTACTACCATTCCCTCAGATGCAGCTACTTCTATGATAGATACCTTATTTCTGTCCAGTTATTTAGGTTCAAAGCCCTTGTTTGTCTTTGATGACATCCTTAGCCATCACTTCCACAATCTCATCCAAGTCGTAACCATAGCCTATCAGGTCTTCCTTTCTGAGTGCTTTCTTTTTTGTTTATTTTGCTCTATTTCTTTTAGCACCCACGTTATTCAAGCATTTCATTATTTGACCTGTGACCTGTCCATCTCTGCCAGTGTAACCTTGTTCTTTTTTTTTTTTTTTTTTTTTTTTTGGAGACGGAGTCTCGCTCTGTTGCCTAGGCTGGAGTGCAGTGGTGTGATCTCGGCTCACTGCAACCTCCATCTCCTGGGTTCAAGTGATTCTCCTGCCTCAGTCTCCCGACTAGCTGGGATTACAGGTGCATGCCACCACACCTCGCTAATTTTTTGTATTTTTAGTAGAGACGGGGTTTCACCGTATTAGCCAGGATGGTCTTGATTTCCTGACCTTATCATCTGCCCGCCTCGGCCTCCCAAAGTGCTGGCATGAGCCACCGTGACCAGCCAACATTGTTCTTTACAGAAATCTTTAGTGTTTCCTCTTCTCTGCCTATGGAGTAGAATTCAAATGTCTTAGCCTGGCATTCAGAGCTCTTTACCAAATGACTTAGATCTACATTCTTTTCTACTGTTCTCCATATGAATCCTTAGATCCGGCCTAATTGGTATACCCTGCTCCTGTTCACATCTCATCCATTCCTTTGCTTATACTTTTCCTCATATCATCTCTACCAAGAAACGCCATTTTCTACTTTCCCCTAACCTCTTTCTCTTTCTCTCCTACTTTCTGTCTTTCTCTTTTCCTCTCATGTCCCTCTCCTTTCTTTTTTTCCCCCCTCTTCTTAACTAGGTCTTATCTTCCTTTTACGGTTCATGCCCTACCTGAAACCTTTCCTGAATGTTCCAGCGTTTAATTGTCTTGACTTTCTCTGAATATCTATATCACTCATTATCCCTATATCCCTAAAGTCAGAAATTATATGCAGATATCCTTGCACTCTCTAAAGTGTCTAATCCCAAAAAGATGACAGCCAAAAAGGCTCTAGCCTAAAAGTTTACCTAGCATAATAGATTTAAAATTTTAAGCACCTAGCATTACTTTGTTTCCAGTACAGGTTATTTCATATCCAAAATACTTGGTACCAGAAGTGGATATTTTTTCAGATTTTGGAATATTTGCATATTATAATGAGATGCTGGGAGATGGAACCCAAGTCTAAACACAATTCATTTATGTTTCATGTATACCTTACACACGTAGCCTGAAAGTAATTTTATACAATATTTTACATAATTTTGTGCATGAAACAAAGTTTTGACTATTTGGTGACCCATCACAAGAGGCCAGGTGTGGACTTTTTGACATCTGGCGTCATGTTGACACTCAAACACTTTCAGATTTTAGAATTTTGGATTCGACTAGCTCAACTTGTATGTCTATAAGGACTTTTTTTTTTTTTTTGAGGCGGAGTCTCACTCTGTCACCCAGGCTGGAGTGCAGTGGCACGATCTCGGCTCCCTGCAAGCTCCGTCTCCTGGGTTCATGCCATTCTCCTGCCTCAGCCTCCCGAGTAGCTGGGACTACAGTACCATGCCACCGTGCCTGGCTAATATTTTTGTATTTTTAGTAGAGACGGGGTTTCACCATGTTAGCCAGGATGGTCTTGATCTCCTGACCTCGTGATCCGCCCGCCTCGGCCCCGCAAAGTGCTGGGATTACAGGCGTGAGCCACCGCGCCCGGCCTATAAGGACTTTATAGGATGATCATGTTCTATTTTTAAATAACTTTTGACTGCAAATAATTACACTGATGGAGTTGTTCATTTTTGTCAAATTTGAGAGTAAATAATGATGGTCTACAAAGAGTGATGTCTATATTAGGAATGAAAAAACCACCAAATAAATTTTAAGGTTGACTTGATTGCATTATACTGAGTTAGATGCTTGAACATTAGTATAGCTACTATTCTTTCATGCTAGAAGAACCTAAATTTTTAACTCCCTGTCTTTTTCTATTAAGGAAAAATTACATTATTGTGGTCTTAATTATTCGTGTGACCAATAAACACATGAGGAGATGTCCAATTTTACTAATAATCAAAGAAATATAAATTAAAATAACAGTCACTTTTTTTTCTTTCAGAATGACAAGATAATGAAAAATGATAATCCCAATATTGCCAAGGGTTTTGGGAAAATGGACACTTCTACAACTTGTGATGAGATTGTAAATTATTAAAAAAACTTTTCAGGGAAACAATTTGGCAGTATGTATCAAAAGCTTTAAAAATACACCTACTCTGACTCAGCAAATATATGTATGAGGTTGTACAAAGATTATATAGAGATGTTCATCACAGCATTATTTATAATAGTGAAGATTGGAAACAACAGTTGATCATTAAGGGATTAATTAAATAAATTTTGGTACATTCATATAGTTGAACACTTATTAAAAGTGATAGTTTTGTACTTGGAAACATAGAAATAGATCAACAAAATACAGTTAAGCTAGGGAAAAACATATATAGTTCAGTTCAATTTTTTGTGGTAGAAACTATTGAAGTGTATATGTCTGTATTTTATAAATTCTGAAAATAGAAACCAAAGTGTTGACAGTGACAGAAGTATGAGTGAATATGTATTCTTTTTAAATGACATCTTTATTGAAATATAATTTAAATAACATAAAATTCATTGGTTTTTAGTATATTCATAGGGTTGTGCAACCATCACCACAGTCAATTTTAGAACATTTTCATTGGCCCTGAAAGAAGCTCATACCCTTTAGCTGTCAACCTCCAATTCTCCTATCCCTTCACTCCCAGCTCTGGGTAACCATTAATCTACTTTTTGTCTTTATAGGTTTGCCTATTCAAGATCCATCTATGTTACTGTGTCTATCATTCTTTCTTTCTTTTCTTTTTTTTTGCTGAATAATATTTCATTGTATGAATATGCTACATTTCGTTTATCCATTTATCCCATTGATGGACATTTGGGTTGTTTCCACTTTTTGACTTATTATAAATAATGCTGCCATGAATATTCATGTACACATTTTTATGTGGACTTATGTTTTCATTACTCTTGGATATATACCTGGGAGTAGAATTTCCAGGTCATATGATGACTATGTTTAACATTTTGAAGAACTGCCAAGCTGTTTTCCAAAGTGACTGTACCATTTTACATTCCCCTCAGTAGTGTGTGAGGGTTAATGTGTTACTTATATTATCAAAAAAAAGTGATTTACATTTTGAGAAAATTAATAAAGTTATTTTAACTCTGTCTAGTTTAAGATTTGTTAGTGGAAGTCGAGATGGAACGGCAAGAATTTGGCAGTATCAGCAACAAGAATGGAAGAGTATAGTGCTCGACATGGCTACTAAAATGACTGGGTAAGAATATATGTTAGATGTTTATGTGGTTCTCATGATATATTTTACATTGAGTTTAATAATGAATATAAAATATCTTTTTACATTAGTAAATAGTTTGAAGTTAGTTGTAGACATGAAGTTTGCATCTGTACAGCCTCTAAGCAAATCATCTTTACTGTTGATTGACAGACTGGATGACAGGAATATTGCTGATTCATTTGATATTCTGGTCTGTTGTGACTCAAAGATCTCTGTGTTCTACTGATGCCTATAGAGCCATTCTCTGCCTTAGATTTTTATAGGTCATTAAAAAATATATCTATATTACTTTCTACCTTGAGAGTTGTCCCTGTTAAATGTCATCATATGTTTAACTTTTTCTTTAATTTTCTAAGGATACTTTTATAATATTTTATATTGTTAGCATTCCTACTCAGTAATATATTTACACTTAATCAGCATTCAGTTTTGTCATCTTCACTGTTCATTGAAAGATACATAATTACTTCTTTGGGACACTACAGCTTCTTTAGGGTATGGCCCTGAAATCAACTGTCTTTCCATTAGCTGCAGTATAAAAATGACTTTTTCATCATAGCTACCTATTGATAATGTCATATTTAATTACATAAAAATGGTACTAAATTTTCTACTGCTTTTTTATAAGACTTATGGGTTTTCTAAAAAAATTCATATTTAAGAGAATAGATTGGCCATTATGTTTTCCTATTTTCTGATAACCAACATAAGCATGAATTTTATTTTTCAAGGTATTTATAGATTTCTTAGTAGTTTCATAATTTTTGGTTCTCAAGGAACTATTTACCAAATTTTTGTCATTTTAGGGTCTTTTTTTCTCCCTGAATTAAGCTAACAGGTATTGCCCTATGCAGATGCATTTACTTTTTTCTTTCATGAATACTTAACAGTATAGTTTAGGATTTTTTAATCTAAACAGTTGTGTACTCCTGGAGAAATTATGTCATAATTTGCTACTTAACATGCACCTTTGTCCAAAATTCATAAGATATGAATACTGCAAATTGTTTTGTTTAGCAATAATTTGCCATCTGGAGAAGACAAGATCACTAAACTTAAGGTGACTATGGTGGCCTGGGATCGCTATGATACCACAGTTATTACTGCAGTGAATAATTTTCTTTTGAAAGTGTGGAATTCTATCACAGGACAGCTTCTTCATACATTATCTGTAAGTATTTTATTTTTAGGGTAATTAAAATGGTCAAAAAGCACATTATTTTAAGACACAGGAAATTTAAGTTCCAGTTTCCTTTCTGTGATATACTATACTAGCCCTTGGAAAAATGATTTTCTGAGAGGCCTCTTTTGACATAGCTGTAAAATAGGGATGACACGCACTATACCTGCTAAAAGCAAGTATGAAATCTTTTCAAGATCTTTTCTAAGTCTAGTAGTTACTCATCTACTGTGTTATTGTATGCAATGAGGACATGTAAGTTATTTTGTTTTTACCAGGGGTTAGCATTTTTTCATTGTTACCGTTATAGGGGTAGAGCGTACCTTATTTTGGTAAAGATATCCTACATAGTCTACCTTTAGTGATTAGTTTATGCAAGGAATAGGGGTAAGAGGAAGAAGTAGGAAAAGAAAGGTATTTTTTCCTCTTTCAGAAAGTGTATATTTGTCATTGTAAGAGGCTACAGTATTTGTGATGTAAAAAGTTGAAAGGATTAATAGCAGAAATCACATGGGTGGTGTTGATGTTTTTCAGTTTATCATAATACTGGTTGACTTCAGATTAAGTTTAATTTAAAAACCTTATTTTGTCTGTTTCAACTATCAATTCATAAGCATTTTAAAGAGAGAATGCCAAATGCTTGCCATGCGATCACTCGTTAGTAAGTGATAAGGTTCAGACTAGAAACCAATTCTTCCGACTCAACTCAGTTGTCTTTGTAGTATATCATGGTGTTTATGTATCAGAGGGATGTAAAGTTCTTCTGTTTTGCAAATGCTGTTTGAGCATCAGCTGTGTGCCAAAAGTGGGTTAGGTGTTAGATATAAATGGTAAATTAGACAGAGTCTTGTCATGCCAGAGCTTATAGCCTATTATGAGAAATACTTTTAATCAGATAAGTGCTAAGAAAGGAAAATGCGAGATAGAATGCAAACTTCTAACATGGTAACCAAATTTGATATGGGAGGCTTAGAGAAAACTTCCTGAGGAAGTGTAGTTTGGGTTAAGTTTTGAAAGATAAGTAAGAATTACCCAAATCTCAACTTAAGTGTCAACTCCTTGATTAGGCCTTCCCTGATCAAACAATCCAAGATAGCCTCCTCGTCTTTGTCTTATTATGTCACCTTGCTTTACTTTTACTAGGTTCATCACTATCTGATATTTTATTGTTATGTTTTCTTATTTTTTTACTGCCTCTACATGGTAGGGTATCAGTAAATATTTGGTAAATCAAATATGTGAGGAGACTGGGGAGTGTTTCTAGAAAGAGGGAATGGCATGTGCAAAGGTCCTGAGGTAGATAGGAGCTGAAAGAAAGCCAATTTAGCTATATCACAAAGAGCAGAAACAGAGTCTCCCCAGATATAATGGGAAAAGTGGACAGGGGCCAGACTAGGATTTTGTAGGATCTATTGTAAGACCAATAGAAAATCATTAAGGGTTTTGCTTTTGAAAAATACCTTTTAATTTTGGTCACAGAAGAGGGAATAGATTGGAATGAGTTGAGAGTGACTGCAGGTAGATTATAGGAGTCTGATAGTAGCCAGGATGAGCCAGGATGATAATTTAGATTTGTGTGGGGGTGGTGGAAATAAAAGTGTGCTTACCAAATACAAATATGGCATTTTAAGATGATAAATTGATAAATTTTAAGACATTACTTATTTTGACTAGATCTTGTTCCCCATGATCTAGTAACTATGTCCTCTCCTAAGGCATGTGACCCAAAAAAAGGAAAATCCCCAGCTTCAAAGTTCTTTTTTTTCCCCCTAATGTACATTGAAGTAGTCATGTCATTATCATTAGAGTTTAGCAAACTCACTTTATTTTTTGCTGGGTACGAACCTGAGAAAATATTGGCTATATCAAATTGATTCTTTTAGCAAGGGATTTTGTTATAGCAAAGAAATAACTTTTTCTGTAGTCGCTGGGAAGAATTTTGGTAAACTTTGAGTTGTGATGGTATTTATCATAAGGGGATTTTTCCTACTAATCTTATCACTACGTTTTGAGCCAGTCTAAAGTTATATTTTCATTCAGTAAGCTGTATTTTTGTCCATAATCATAATATGGTAGGATACTCTATTATTCTACTTTTTTTAATAGCATGATTTGGGACAAAATGCACTTTTGAGATTTGCAGGATATGATCATTTTTTAGACGCTACTGATGTATAATGTGATAGTGTGTTCCTAAGATAAGTGCAGCTTCGGAATGTTCTCTATGCTTTTCTAAGGCTTGGAGCCTGTTCTTAAACATAAACTCTCTAGTCAGGAGTTAAGTCCAAAGAAAATGAACAATGATCTTAAAGCAGATGTTTGTAAACTTTTCCTTTCCGAGGCATATAAACATATAACATATGTAAACTTGTTATATGTTATATAAACATATAACATATGTAAACATGTTATATGTTGTATAAACATATAACATAAAGCATTGGTTTTCAAACTTATTTCTTTTTAGCAGAAAATGTATTTTCTAGATAACATCTTAAATGGAACTCCCAAATGTAAAGTAGGTGTAGAGCAGAACCACTGTGCTTTATCCTTTGAATGTATCATGAGGCTTACTAAAATACAATTTGAATACCAGTAATAGAGAATAGAGTGCTGAATTGTATTGATCATTGTGTCAGAATTGGGTGTTATTGAAAGATTCTGTTTGTCATATATTCTGTGGCCTTTTAAATAGCCCAGTCCTAAATTCCACTTCAGAGCCTTGGTTAATGAGCTGTATTGTTTAGACTATATTTTAAAAACATTTCTGGATCTTCTGTTTATTGAATACTTGATAAAATCAGCAGTTTATAAGGAAATCTCACTGAGGTGTATTGTTCATATAGTATCCACGTAGTAAATGCTGTTTATTATTCTGCATAAATCCATTTGAACCAGACTGATAGCACACTGAAGACCTTTTTACCAAATGAACAAGACATTTTGTGTTGTTTTTCATTTTTAATACTGATTTTTATTATAGGGACATGATGATGAAGTATTCGTTCTGGAAGCCCATCCATTTGATCAAAGGATTATACTTTCAGCAGGTCACGATGGGAACATTTTTATTTGGGACCTTGACCGGGGGACCAAAATTCGGAATTACTTTAACATGGTAAGAGACACCTGTGTCTAGTTCACATTAAAACCAACTTCTCTTATGTAATAACTTGGTTAATTAAAGTATACCTGGTACAAAGGAACCTCTTGTCATTTGTGTTTAAATTGGTTAAATAATTCAGAGAATAACTCAAGAACTGAGAATAAGGCCAGTTGAGCCTTTCAAGATGTTAGCATTTTCTTAGGTGTTAGCATTTTTCCAAATTCTGTTCCCTAGCCCTAAACTGCAGATACTCAAATGTATTAAGCTTTGGAGTTAACACCTAACCAAAATCACAAAAAGATTGATGTTTAAAATGTAATTCTCATTTATGAATTATAACAGTGACTGTAATACTTGTGTCTGCCCCTGGTAAACCTCATATGATTTAGTAATCAGAAAGTTGTTTGGCAAACATGGACTTGGAGATATGGATGCTCTTAAGATATGTCTCATACAAGCCATGGAAAAATCTGGTGAGCTATCTCTCCTCTCAGAACACCCTTCTATGGTGATGGGAATACTCATATCCTCTTAAGAATAATTCTGACTAAACATTTCTAAATTGTTGGTTGGCCTTTGAGTTTACTTTTATATGCTTTATATAGACCCAAAGCAAAGACAGATCCTCTGTCTTTTATTAGTAAAATTGATTGTGTGCTTTAATTTTAGGATGGTTATTTTAAGGCTTCATTGCATTATAACTTAAGATGTGAAGATAGTATCTTGACTTTGCTAAGGTAGTGCCTTTGTCATTTTGGTTGCATTTAGTTCTATTTTAATCTTCACAGTCACTCATTTAGTATTTCATGAGGTATGTCATTGCTAGCAATGATTGATTTTATCCATTGCAATTTGCCTCTCCCTAATTTCTTTCAGGGATTTACTGTTTCAGTAGGGTTCTGGCTACAGAAGCCAGAGAGTACTTTGGAATGTTTGTGCATCACAGAGTCCATGGTATTAGCAAGGAAAAGTTGTCACCTATCTATTATTTGAAAATTACTCTTAAGATGACTTGAGACTCCTCTGAATTTCAGATTGAAGGCCAAGGCCATGGTGCGGTGTTTGATTGTAAATTTTCACCGGATGGAAACCATTTTGCCTGCACAGATTCTCATGGGCATTTGCTGCTTTTTGGTTTTGGATGCAGTAAATACTATGAAAAGGTTAGCATATTTTAATTTTGCTGTAGAGTATAATTTAGGATTGTGTCATTCACAAATTTTGTTTAAAGTCCTCCAGTTAATAAGGGCTGTTATGTGTCAGTAGATATAAAATAAAAGAAAGTTGTCTTTCTTAGTAAAGGTTCTCAATTGTGATCTGCACTGCCAGAACATTATGTTTGGCTGTGCAGATCACGACTGAGATAAATTACAGGGTGATGAAGACATAAAAATTCCTTAGGAAATCCTTTTGCTTTGAACATATTCTCTAATGCCTTCCAGGTATAATAGGAGAGTAATTCTAATACATCACATCTTCTACTTCTCATGAATTGGGAATAGACTGCTGGCGACTGAATATGTTTATTTTCTTAGGTGGCTATTTTACTTATTATTGATCCTGTTAAAATACTTTGGGAGCTAACTTAATTAGCTAACTTAATTAGTTCTTTATGTTTTGTTAGCTGTGAATTTGAGAAAGTTTATAGAATTGTAGAGTTGGAAGAGAACTCAATCATTGAGGTCAGCTCAATAATTGTATTAATATCAGGTTTGAGTGTCTTTGATGTGATTGATATTTACCTGTTTTATCATATGTATTATACTGCATCTGTCTTCATTTGAATAAAAATAAGCAAGAAAAACATAATTATATAGGTTTGTGTAATTTTTACAACTTAAATACAAATGCCCAACTATATCTACTGGGTTGTTGCTTTAGTTCTTCTTATCATAATAGAAGAAATATGATATGTCTAAAAATTAATACAGATTATAGGATTTTGTGGAGAAAAGAGAATTACCATCTAGATAATTCAATTCTATTCTACCTAAAGGGGGAATATAGGGCAACAAAGGACTATAAGAGTATGCAAAAAATTATCTGATTTAAAAAATGAATGTGCTCTAGGAATGAAAACAAGTATTTACTTATAAATTCCCTGTGTATGTTAACCCACTAAAAATCTGTCATAAAGATTCCAGATCAGATGTTCTTCCACACGGATTATCGTCCTCTTATTCGTGATGCCAATAACTATGTATTGGATGAACAAACCCAACAAGCTCCTCACCTCATGCCTCCTCCATTTTTGGTGGATGTTGATGGAAATCCTCATCCCACAAAATTCCAACGGTTGGTACCAGGACGGGAAAATTGTAAAGATGAACAGCTTATACCACAGCTGGGATATGTGGCTAATGGTATGTTTCCTCTAAAAGTAAATTTAAAACATTTTGCACAATATTATACATTACTGCTGTATTCTCTATGATGTATACCTCCTGCTAACCTCTGGAGTAGGTTATAATATGTTTCATCTTCTGTTACTGTTAATTTTCAGTTGTATAGTACTTTTAACCTTAGCATAGTACTTTTTCATTGTTTATCTCACCTGGACACAGATAAGTGGGTTAGGACCAACATAAGCATATATGCTCAAGCAGATAATGTATTGACCTATTTCTTTAGAAAACCTTATATATGTATGAACCCGTTGTTTTCTATAGTATTGAGTTGTAATAAAAGCTTTTGTAACTGGTGGAATTCCACTGCTTATATTATTGATATTTTAGTTTGAGAGTTCATAGTTAATTAAACTAAGAAGGTGAAACTTTGAAAAACCACAGACTGGCCAGGAGTGGTGGCTCACGCCTATAATACCAGCACTTTTGGAGGCCGAGGTGGGTGGATTACTTGAGGTTAGGCATTCGAGACCAGCCTGGCCAAGGTGGTGAAACCCCGTCTCTACTAAAAATGCAAAAATTAGCTGGGGGTGATGGTGCCCAGCTGTAATCCCAACTACTTGGGTGGCTGAGGCACAAGAACCACTTGAACCCAGGAGGCGGAGGTTGCGGTGAGCCAAGATTGTGCTACTGCACTCCAGACTGGGCGACAGAGTCAGACTGTCTCAATAAAAAGAAAACAACCCCTACCCTGCAGCTGGAGGTAGCTATTTACCTATTCTCATGTTTGAAATGCAAAGAGTTATTGGGTGTAGAGTAAGCGGATGTGACTATTTAAATAACACTCGGTCTTGGGAGATATTGGGAAAGCAGAGATGAATGTGATATATGATGGGAAGATAGGAGAATAAAACATTGGAATAAGCTATTTTCTATCAAAGAAACTTACTCTCTTCTGGTTAGCATATTTCCATTATTTATTCTGCCCTCTACCCCCACATAAAATGCCTTCATATCTTACTTTGGTACTTGTAGGTTGTCTTCAGGTATGAGCTAGTAAGTTACTGATTTGCAAGTAGAATTTTGTATCTTTGCTAGGGAATTAAGGCTTGAACTGACCCTCATAGAATGAAATGCTGCACATCTTTTTATGTTCTTGCTCATAAAGGTTGTAGAGCAGGGAAATGGTATTACACATGTGCCTGTAGTTACTGTGATGATATATTTATTAGCCAAGGAGAAAAGGTGTGAATATTAATTAAATGGGAGATAAACTTGAAAACAAAGGAATAAGAAAGTCTAATTTATCAGACTTTATTTCTTGTATATTTCTCGTAAGATCTGATCACTTGGTTACTCTGTCAAATCTGACTAGAGGACAAGATGAAAACCAGGGCAATGATATACTTAAGAAAGAAAAAGATTTAACGTTTTCATTCAGAAATAATCATTAAGTTTCAGTGTATATAAAAAATAATTTTGTACTCATTAAACTAAAATGTTATCAAAAGACAATAATAGTTCAAAGATCATCATTTTGACTTCTTTCAAAAAGGAAATTTTCACAAAGAAGGATGCAAAGCATTTTAGGTATCTGTGGTTAAACTTGTTTAATTAAACCTTACTCAAAACTCTCATGGCATAGCTAGTTGCTGTTAGGCAGCAAACCTATACAGCATTTAACTGCACTGAATACCATAGACAGTTATAAATACAATGGTACATATTTATCTAAGCATATCTAGACAGAAAAGGTACAGTAAAAATGTGGTATAAAAGATAAAGAATGGTATACCTGTGTAAAGCACTTACCATGGAATGGAGCTTACAAGACTGCAAATGCTGTGGGTGATTCAGTGAGTGAGTGGTTGAATGTGAAGACCTAGAACATTACTATACAATAGTGTACACTTTATCAACACTGTACACTTAGGCTATGCTAAATGTGTATAAACAATATTTTTCTTTCTTCAGTAACAAATTAACCTTAGCTTACTGGAAACACTTTTTAGGTTTTTTGTTTTGTTTTTTTAACTTTTCGACTCTTTTGTAATAATACTTAGCTTAAAACACAAATACTTTGTACAACCGTATAAAAATATTTTTTATATCCTTATTCTATAAGGTTTTTCTATTTTTAAAATTTTTATTGTTTTACTTTTTAAACTTTTTAAAAGTTAAGACACAAACACACATTAGCCTAGGTCTACACAGAGTCAAGATTATCAATATCCCTGTCTTCTACCTCCACATCTTGCTTGTCCCCCTGGAAGGTCTTCAGGGGCAATATGGAGCTGTCATCTCTTATGATAACAATACCCTTTTCTGGAATACCTCCTGGAGGACCTTCTTGAGGCCGTTTTACGGTGCAATATTTTTTAGTAATTAAAAGTAGTACATTTCAAGATGATACGAAGTATGGTATAGTGCATACATAAAACAGTAATATAGTCGTTTACTACCAAATATTATGTACTGTGCATAATTGTGTGTGCTATGCTTTTATATAACTGGCAGTGCAGTAGGTTTATCCCAACATCACCACAAACATGTGAGTACTGCATTGCACTTTGAGGCTGTGATGTCACTAAACAAGAGTTTTTCAGCTTCATTATGATCTCGTGAGACTACCATTGTATATGTGGTTTATCTTTGACTGAAATGTTGTTATGCAGCACTTGATTGTATTTTTAAAGATGAGAAGGCCCTCATAATAATGTCTAATTTGGGAGCATTGGTTAAGTCAGACACATAAGCTAGCACATCAAAAATATTTAAAGTTTTTAATAAAATGTTTCATTTGATATATACTTTTTTTACATTTAATCCTGTTTTTAATCATTTATGTAGAAATTTATAGGTTGTTTTTACTATGTTTAAGGTATACTAAAATGTAAGTAATTTTGGGGCTTTGTATCTGGTCTTATTAAGGTGATGGTGAGGTAGTAGAACAGGTAATTGGGCAGCAAACCAATGACCAAGATGAGAGCATTCTTGATGGAATAATCAGGGAACTGCAGAGAGAACAAGACTTGAGACTAATTAATGAAGGAGATGTTCCACATTTTCCAGTTAATAGAGCATACTCTGTTAATGGTGGTAAGTATTTTTATACTTGTAAAGGGTGTAGTGTATGTACTGTAATTATTTTACTTTTCCCAAATAATTACATGGAAAATATTTTACCTTTATAAATAAAAACATTTTTATTAATTTGCAATTTTGATATCAGATATATCAAAGTCTCATAATCTCATCATTTGTGGGTAAAATGACTTAAAGTCTCCTGAGAAATTCAGGTGATGCATTTTAATACACTGTCTTCTTTTTACTCAGTAATTTATCTGTAATCTTTACATTTGTTTTAAGAAGTGAAGTGCTACAGTATGTCTAGCCCTCTTGTAGGGGAACCAACCTATACAGTTTTCAAAATTAAAACTACCTTAAGTTTAGAAATTACTGCCAATTCCTCTTTTGTGGAGAGGAAAGTAGAATACCATGCTCCTCTCTTGAATTAAAAAAAAAAATACACTGAAGACAAGAAGCTGTCTTAGGGAATACAGATGCAGCTTCTGAATTGACTTATAATAGTTTGATCTTAATACCAGTGGAAGTTATTGTATAATTAATTATCTTAAAATGAATATTCTATCCTTAAATGATATTAAAATGATATCCTATCCTATCTTTTACATTAAACGTGAAAATGAATATTCTATCCTTAAATGATATTAAAATGATATCCTATCCTATCTTTTACATTAAACGTGCCAGGGCATCTGAGTTTTATATAAATCTTAGCTTTTATCAAGAGCTATTAGTTTTATCTTCAAATGTAGTCATCTTATGAGATTTTTTTTCAGATTTATTTCTTTTCATATATTTGTAACTAGAGTCATTTATCTGTGTAACATTGCATTTTAGATTTCATAGAAATGAATAAGGTGATTTAAATTTGTGGTGATTCACAGAGTATTTTACTAATTTCCTGATTTCTTCAATATCTCATAAAATTAAAAAAATTCATTTGGGTTACTTGAACACCTAACTCAGATAAGCTTTTCTGAACCTGGAACAAGATAACAAGTGGGCTGATAATCCTATCTATCCAGGCCCTTTATTCCTGAAATGTGAAACTTTCTCAGAGCCCTGATTTAAATATCCATTAATGAAATCAGTATTCTGTTGTACCTTCAATACTAGGTTTCTGTGGACAGATTAGAAATGACATTAGTCAAGAGACCCCACTGACTTCTATTGGTAATATTCATTTGTTTTGAAATTTTTCTGACATTTAACAGTTGGATGTTTCAGTTTCCATTTGTTTTTTTTTTTTTTTTTTTTAATATAAGAAAAATAACATGAACCTTTCTGGAGTATTAAAAAATAAAACTTCTGTTACTTTGTTTTCTTTCTTTCTTTGCTCATCAATCTTGAAAATGAAATTTTGATTTAAAAAAATAATTATTTACACTTTGAATCTTAACATTTTTGAAAGTTTTATTGATGCTTTATCTAGAAACACTGTAATGGAGAGAATAAAGATAGAATTTAGATCAAAAAGCTGCTTCCTGAACTAGCACTAATAAACATTTGTGAATCTCCAAATCATGTTGAATACATTTTTTTATATTCTGTGAGCATTTAGTAGATGTCAGATGTGAAACTACTTTGAAAAAAATTAAAATAATTATAGAAATTTTAAACATTTCTCAATAAAAGTGCTTACTTTATTTATAACAATATGAAAAACATAAAGGAGGGTACAGAAAATATAGAACAAAGGGATAGCAATTCTTACAGCAGTACTATCTTTGAATCTACTCTTTTATTTAGAGCTGTGTTCTGGAAAACTGTGGTGCCTTTGCTCAGAAAGTGACAATTTTCCTTGTTTTTGTTTTAGCTCTGAGAAGTCCAAACATGGACATATCTTCTTCCCCAAACATCAGGCTTAGAAGACATAGTAGTCAAATTGAAGGTGTTAGACAAATGCATAACAATGCTCCTCGGAGCCAGATGGCCACTGAAAGAGATCTCATGGCATGGAGCAGAAGAGTGGTGGTCAATGAACTAAATAATGGGGTTAGTAGGTGAGTCAGTAAGGTAACATTTAGAAGAAAATTTAAAGCTTTATTCTTAGGAAGTGAATTGAAATGTACTATGTTAGCCTAGTAAATGAGGTATTTTAAAATATAGTTTAGTCATGCATTAGTTTTTCCATATTATTCCAGTGAGTTCACTCCATAACAAATAATGATTATCTTCAGCTTTGTGCTGAATGCTTTGGGGAATATTGAAAATGCAAAACATTATCTCTGTTCTCAGTTTATAGCCTAGATTTGAAGAAAAGAATACAAGTAGTATTAAGAACTCATGAGGTCTTACGTAATTAAATATGTGAGTGATATATGGACCCTAACATTTGAGCAACCTGGGAGTACAATTATTTGCTAGATGCTAGTGCTTAAGAGTATCTTTAGAAATGTCATTTAGGTAGACTTCATTGGATGAAAGAATTTCATTAGGATTAATTTCAAGCTTACAATCCCTATTCGTATTTGTAAACCCTGAAATTTGCTGTAATAACAACTTTCAGATACTCCACAGCAACTGGAAATAGATTTAGAAAAGAGAAAGGATATTTACAGAGAATATGTACAATTCATTTTAATCAAGTATCTTCCTAACCAAGCTTTTACCAGATCAACCAACAAGTAGCAAAATTAATTTGGTTTCTTCTTTTCTTCTGCTTTCTGCTATAAGAAGGCAGCAGTAATAAGAAAAAAGAAAGACATAATTAACTTGTGTCTTTGGAGTAAATGATTATTTACTCAAAACATTGAAAGCAGAATTGAAAGCAGGGACTCAAAGACATTTGTATACCAGTGTTAAATGTGACATTATTCACAATAACCAAATGGTGGAAACAACTCAATTGTCCACCAACAAATGAACAGATAAACAAATTGTGGTATATGTACAAAATGGCGTATCATTCAGCTACAGAAAAGAATGTTCTGATACCTGCTACAACATGGATAAACATGCTAAGCGAAAGAAGCCAGAGACAAAAGGACAAATATTATATGATTCCACTTATATGAAATATCTGGACTAGGCAAATTCATAGAGACATACAATAGATTAGAGGTTTTCAGGGGCTAGGAAGAAGGAGAAAATGGGGAGCTATTGCTTAATGGTCACAGAGTTTATCTTTGAAGTGATGAAAAAGTTTTGGAAATGCTGATAATGGTTGCACAACTTTCTGAATGTAATTAATGCCACTGGATTATATACCTAAAAATAGTTCAGATGGCAAATTATATGTTTAAAAGTATTTTTGTTATCTGATTCTTAGATGATTGGTTTTCTTTTTGATGATTTTCTGTTACTTTGACCTTTGACTTGTTATTAGGGTACAGGAAGAATGTCGAACTGCAAAAGGTGACATAGAAATCAGTCTTTATACAGTTGAAAAGAAGAAAAAGCCATCTTATACTACTCAAAGGGTAAGTATAGTTTTACAATACTTTGGGATACACTATTTGCAAATATTTGTAGATAATAGGCTTTTGAGAGGCAGCAGTTATGTATTAAGAGACTATTTTAGTAGGTATCTGCATATAAGGCACGTACTTTTTGAGCCACAAATTGAGATATATGATTATTATTAATAAGAATAAAGTTATAAGTCCAGAGTGTCCCCCCAAATCTAGGACATGTGGTCATTGTAGGTATAAGATATTTGTATTAAAATAACCATTTTTATATGGTCAAAGTGGAACCTTAAATATATTATCAGATCACTAATTAGAATGTAAAACAAATGATCCAGATATCCTAGGCCAGAGATTGACAAACTATAGCCCATGGGCCAAATCAGTTCTGCTACCTATTTCTGTTAATTTTTATGAGAACACAACCACGTTCACTTATTTATATCTTGTATATGGTTGCTTTCAGGCTGTAAGACAGAATTGAATAGTTGTAACAGAGATTGTATGACTTGCAAAGCCAAAAAATATTTACACTTTGGTCCTTTGCAGAAAAAGTTTGCTGATCCCTACCCTAGACCCATTCCTGGCTTACCAAATCATTTAGGAGCAAAACATGATCTGTATATTGTGATGTACTATAGAAAGAAACTGCTAAGCAGAATACTCTCAGGTACACCAAATGTATAATTTTCTTCCCAAATTTAACCATAGTTTCTGTAGAGTGTGGTAATTTGAAGAGTCTAGGATGATTTTGATGTTGTTAAACAAATCTAGGTGATGGACCCTGATTTTGAATTTTTTTTTTCCATAATTGATAAACAGAAATTTAGATAAATATGAAATGGGTATCTTCAAATATTAGATCATTTTGATGTTTGCTTTCTTAACTCTTAACTTTTATTGTTAAGAAATTAACTTTATTTTGTTAGTTTTTTTTTTTAAGAGATTTTTGAATGACTCAGAACAGTGATTTTTATTCTTTTTTCCTACTAAGCTGATTTTATCAAACATCAGACTTGACTGAGACTAATGGACAGGGTCCTTAGGTCTGTAGATATTTTTGCTTATGTTGAAAATGTGAAACATTTACATACACTTTTAAACTTGTTGGTTCCTAATTACATTCTAGGATTGCAGCTTAGCTAAATGGAATGTCAATAGTAATGTTTTGTATTTGTAAAGGTTAGAATAAAATAGTTTTCACTTCAAATTTTAGTTGTTAAAAATTAAATCTCTATTTTGACCTTTTTACTAAATGAATATACTGCCAATTCTTGTTATAACTACAAGTAAGTTATCCATAGTAACTCAATTTCTTTTCTTCTATATTGTCCACAAATAGTAGAAATAATCCTCAATGGGATATAAGGGATTAAGCATGGCATGAATTTCTGTGCGTCTGTGTGCCTTCGATGAAGAGTCAAATTCTAAAATATTTGAAGAGATTTATTCCGAGCCCAAAATGAGTGACCAGTGGTCTGTGGCACAGCCCTTAAGAGATCCTAAGACTCTGTGCCCGAGATGGTTGGGCTACAACTTGGTTGTATACATTTTAGGGAGACATAAGACATCAATCAATAGATGTAAAATGTATATTGGTTTGGTGCAGAAAAGCAGGACAACTGGAAGGTGGGTAGTGGGCTTCCAGGTCAATTTCCAATCCAAGATTTTCTGACTGGAAATTGGTTGAAAGAGTTTTTATCTAAAGACCCGGAATGAATAGAAGGGAATGTCTGGATTAAGATAAGGGTTTAGATAGCTGGGCATGGTGGTGCATGCCTGTAATCCCAGCTACTCGCAGGCTGAGGCGGGAGGCTGAGGCAGGAGAATTGCTTGAACCTGGAAGGCGGAGGTTGCAGTGAGCTGAGATCGCGCCATTGCACTCTAGCCTGGGCAACTAGAGTGAAACTCTGTCTCAAAAAAAAAAAAAAAATGACGGTTTGTGAAGACCAAGATTCTTTATTATGCATATGAAGCCTCCAGGTAGCAAACTTCAGAGAAAATAGTTGTAAATGTTTATTATCAGACTTAAGAAGATGCCAGACTCTTACTTGATTCTCTCTTGAAGGGAATCCTCTGCACAATGTAGGTTTTCCCCCACAAGAGACAGCTTTGCAGGGCTATTTCAAGATATGGCGAGAAACATTTGGGGTTAAAATACTCTGATTCCCCTCCTTATCTGTCATGTGATGTTATGCCAAAGTGAGGTTGGAAAAGTAAAGCCATGTTATATAGAGTTAAATAAAACTACTCTGATGGGACTCTATGGTTTGTAAGGCATGACTCTCCAGACGCTTGAGATAGGAATTTGAGCAAGAGAAGAAAAAAGGAACAGAGTTTAGATTTCAGTTCCGAAAATTAAATTGTTACTTTTTGTATGTAGATTGTTTTGAGTCCTTTCCCTTCTGTTGTTAGAAGTAATCTAAGATTTATTATTTCATTTTTATTTTAAACAACTCTCTCCTGGACCTAGTTTTGTATTTCAGAGGTGGGGGGTTGGAGATTGGACTAAATTTATTCTAAAGATACTTTTTAACTCTTAAGAATCTTAAGAATGCTGTTGATGAAAGAATCAAACTCTGTAAAATATTTGAAGAGATTTGTTCTGAGCCATATATGAGTGACCAGTGACTGGTCTCAAGAAGTAGTCCTGAGAACATATGCCTAAGATGGTCAGGCTACTGGTTGGATTTGTACAATTTAGGGAGACAAGACATCTATCAGTACATGTAAGACAGTACATTGGTTTGGTGCAGAAAGGCAGGACAACTCAGGGGGGTGTGGCAGAGGAGGTTCCAGGTCATAGGTAGATTCTAAAATTTTCTAATTAGCAATTAGTTGAAAGAGTTAAGTTATTGTCTAAAGACCTAGAATCAATGGAAGGAAATGACCGAGATTCTCATTACGCAGAAGAAACCTCTAGGTAGTTTTTCCACAGAGAGTAGATAGCAAATGTTTCTTTTCAGACTTAAAATTGATTCTCTCCTGGATCAGGAAAAAAGCCTGGAAAGAGAACGGGATTCTCTACAGAATGTTGATTTTAAGACAGCTTTACCGGGCTATTTCAAGAAATGACAAAGAAACATATTTGCGGTTAAAATATTTTGATTTCTTTCTTTCTCTGTTGTATGATGTTATGCCAGAGTCAGACTGGAAAGTTAAAACATATTATATAGGGTTAAGTAAAACCCCTCTGATGCGACTTCGTGGTTTGTAAAGCGTGGAACCTCCGCTCCCATGCCCACCCCCGCAGAAGGCCTCTTAGATATTCTAGATCTTTAGAATATCTAGAATAAAAAGTATCTAAGAGGCCACCCCCGCAGAAGGCCTCTTAGATAGAAATTTGGGCAAGAGAAATAAAAGATCAGAGTTTAGTCTTCAATGTTAATCTAGAATGAACAAAAGTGTAGATTATTAAATCCACTTATATATCTTAGCACTTTAAAAAAGTTTTCTAGATTTTTGAATAACTAAATAAATACATATTATATATACACAAATGTGACTGAAATGTCTTGCTTCATCCTATAATAATTCTGAATAATGTGGCATATGTAAATTATGAATGGGCAAATTCTTGCAACCCAGACATTTTTTTTTTTTCAGGAAGTGAAACAATTTTATATTACAGTTGGCTTTAAAATCACAAAGACACTTACTTTTTTCATATAAAAACATTAGTACAGATACCTGTACTTTCTAGAAAATGATTATATAGACATCTCAAAGAAAAATGTACACCATTATATGGTTTTAGTGAGGTTACTTAGAAAAAGCTCAAATCTGGACTGATACCTAAAACATACCATTCCACTACCATTCTACTGATGATTAGTATCATCAGTATGTCTTCCAGCATTATTACGTATTTGATAATACATACATAGGCTGGCTTATCACTTACTGTTCCATTGGTTCATCAGCCTTTTCTGCTGGTTGATCAGCAGGTTGAGCAGGCTGTGCCAGCTGGATTGTCACTCAATGTTTCATTGGTTCTTCAGCCTTTTCTGCTGGTTCATCAGCAGGCTGAGCAGGCTGTGCCTTTCTCTGTGGCCTTTCTTCAAGACCTTCCAGGAATGGAGACACATCATCATCATCATCATCATCATCATCATCATCATCATCATCATACATTGTAAACTCCAAATTTTTACCAGCATTTCCAATGGGAACGTTTTTGTAGTTATGTCCTGATCTGCAGGAATTGTCTCTCTTAAGGCATGCAGACCATGTTTAACCAGTTCATTTGAATTGTATTCCATAAATTTGCACATATGTCTCTCCAAGTAAGTACAAGCTGACTGAGAACGGGTCCCAATGGACATAGCTCTGTAGTCAAAATAGTCAGCAGATGGCCAAGTTTGGAAAATGCGAGGCCCATATCAACATACCCAGCAATAAGTGGCCCAACACCATATGGTCTCCAGCCGTATTGTTGTGTTGATATTTGGGTCTTGCTTCCAATTAGAGATACAAGAGAAGACACAGGAAGTGGTCTATCGGATACAAATCTGGAATTGAAACACTCCTGGCACATAAAATTACATAACAGTCTACCATCATCAGTAAGCCCTGCAGTTGAGATACTAATATGGTTGTCAACATGGAGAATATTTTCTGATGAGCTGCAAGCTCCGATGGTGCCCTTTTCAATGCAATCAATAGTGCATGGGTTTTTGATTTCAGACCAACTGTGGCTGAACCTTGTTTAACAGCTTCCATTGCATAGTCAGTTTGATGAATCCTGCTCCAGACAATGATATCATTGTCATACTGGTTTCCAAACGTGGTTCCGGCCAGGTCTGGTTGCAGCCTCTGGCAAAACTGAGGATCAAGGAGTTGCTGCCTAAACTATCACTCTGCAGTGTACAGAGAAGTCTGTGGGACTTTGCAACCCAGACTTTTCAGCACTGTCTTTAATTTTTCACAAGGTTTACAAAATAGGAGAGTGATCAATATTAGTGGAAAGTGGGTTAAATATGTATAAATATAGTTATATGTTGGCTTTCTTTAGGGGAACTTATTCTCATCTCCTACTCACCCCTACCCCCCACCTAATTTCCTTTATATATGTTCCTTGTGTGTTTACTGAGATTTTCCTTTTTTAAAATTTATTATTATTCTCTTTTACAGAATGATTATGAGCCTAGCTGTGGGCGTTCTTTACGAAGGACACAGCGCAAACGTCAACATACTTACCAAACACGGTCCAACATAGAGCATAATTCACAACCTTCATGTCAAAATTCAGGTGTACAGGAAGACTCAGACAGCTCCTCAGAGGTTAGATATATACTATTATTTATTTGATGTAGTTTTTTGTTTCCCAGTTCGTATCATCCATTTGGGTTTAAGGGTCACTTCTTTAATAGAAAATTATTTTAATTATATTCTTGTAAGAGATTTGTTCATTAATAATACATTTAGTAGGTATATTTGGGCATATTTAATTCCTTTAGGTGTCTTCTTGGATTTGTACCTCAGATGCTGTCTTTGTGAGGGTATCAAATATGCCAGCAAGAGTTTGCCTTTGACACAATGAAAAAAAGAGTTTAAGAGGAAATCAGCCTAGAAATGGAAAGGAGTGAAATATAAAGAACTTTAATAAGTTCCACAGTTTCAGAACTGTTTGGCTATCTAATCAACATAATATACACATTTTTTGTTATTATTGACTTCACCTCTCATGGAGATCATTGAGTGTTGATTTTTCTCAGATCTACCTTTTTCATGGTAATGAATAAAGAGTGTAGCTTCTTTTCATCTTGTTCTTCTGTTCTCCAGTCTTTTTGTTCTCTTAACAGCTTTCATTGTTAAATGCATAATGAAGGTTTAATCATGCATTGACAATATATGGTACTGTCATTCGCGTGCCATTCCCAATTCTTTTTTTTTTTTTTTTTTTGAGATGGAGTCTTGCTCTGTCCCCAGGCCGGAGTGCAGTGACACGTACTTGGCTCACTGCAACCTCTGTCTCCCAAGTTCAAGAGATTCTCCTGCCTCGGCCTCCCCAGTAGCTGGGATTACAGGCATGCGCCACCATGCATGGCTAATTTTTGTATTTTTAGTAGAGCCAGGGTTTCACCCTGTTGGCCAGGCTGATCTTGAACTCCTGACTTCAGGTCATCTGCCCGCCTCGGCCTCCCAAAGTGCTAGGATTACAGGCATGAGCCACTGCACCTGGCCCCATTCACAGTTCTTAAACTGTTATTAAAGATGTCCTCCATTCATGCCCCACCCCCACCTGTATGAAATCTTGATCTTAAAAGAATGATCACTGTTCAGGAACTGATGCTCCCCCCACCCTTTTAAAAAAAGACAAAAACAAACAAACAAGCAGAAGACAGAGTCTTGTTCTGTTGCCCAGGCTGGAGTGCAGTGGCTCAATCTCAGCTGACTGCAGCCCCCACCTCCCAGGTTCAAGCAATCCTCCTGTCTCGTCCTCCGAAGTATCTAGGACTACAGGTGCATGCCACCATGCCCTGCTAATTTTTGTATTTTTAGTAGAGACAGGGTTTCACCATGTTGGTCAGACTGGTCTCGAACTCCTGACCTCAGGTGATCTGCCTGCCTTGGCCTTCCAAAGTGCTGGGACTACAGGGATGAGCCACTGTGCCTGGCCTGATGCTCCCTTTTACATGTAATGTGATAACAGCATTATGGTTGTACTTCTAAAACAAATCCTAATCTTAATACATATTTATGGTTAAAATGGTTTTTTTGGTCATGATGTGCATCAAACTAATGCTAAGAGTATAAGGCAGTGGGTGAGGGCATAGATAAAATAGGAAGTTAATTATTGTCTAAACTGGAGATTGTGTACACGGGTTATCTGTTCTCTCTACTGTATTTAAAATTTTACATAAAAAATATAATTAAAATTTTTAGTGGAGAGTAATTATATTAACTTGATAGAGACATATAGGCATTTTTAAAACAATGTTTCTAATGTATTTAAGAGGGTTATATTTGGACTTAAAAAATCTATTGAGTCTTTGAAATCATAAAAAGATGTTTTATATCAATAAGATAATGATGCCAGAAATTTAGAAATACCTAGTAGACTTAGTTGTGAGTTACAGATATACTTAGAACAATAATTATGTGCATTTTAAGGAGAGTATTTTTTGAGGGCAGAATTCAAAAAATGCTGTAAAATAGGTAGCGGTTTTTTAACTAGAAATACATTAGGTGGTAATATCCATATATCTTAATTGCTGGCTCTTTGTTATAGGAAGACGAAACTGTTGGCACAAGTGATGCTTCAGTAGAGGATCCTGTTGTTGAATGGCAAAGTGAAAGTTCTTCCAGGTAGTTTTAATGATTTCAATTTGGTCGAATTTATTGAACAGTTTTAATATGAAATTATGTTCTTGTAGGAAATTGGTAAAATCAGAATTAAAATAGTGTTTTATAGTAGAAAAGGTACTGGCTGGAAGCCGAGAGACCTGATGTGATCCTGGCTCTCCCAATATCTTTCTGACGTCACTGTGGGCCTTTTAGTTTCTTCATCTACAAAATAAGATTCTTTTTAAATCCAAGATTCTACATCTTGGCAATCATATTCACCCTCTGCATAATGATCTTTCAGCCAATGACGGAGTGCATATGACGATGGTCCCATAATGAAGCTGAAAAATTCCTGTCACCTAGTGACATCATACCCATTGTAACACTGTAGCACAAAGCATTATTCACGTGTTTGTGGGTGTAAGTTAACTTGCTGAACTGTCAGCCATACAAAAGTTTAGCATATACAGTTATGTACAGTATATAGTACTTAATAAACAACTATGTTACTGGTTTATTTACTATGCTATACTTATATATTATTATGTTTTCTTCATTTCATTTTCTATTCTTTTAGAGATGGTGTCTTGCTATGTTGCCCAGGCACGCCTTGAACTCCTGGGCTCGAGCAGTCCTCCCACCTCAGGCTCAGCCTCCTGAGTAGCAGGGTGTACAGATGCACACCAATATGCTCAGTTTATGCTATACTTTTTGTTGTTATTTTAGAGTGTACTTGTCGTACTTGTAATAAATTATTAACTGTAAAATATCCTCAGTCAGGTCCTCCAAGAGATATTCCAGAAGAAGGCATTATTATCATTGGAGATAAAAGCTCCATGTGTTTTTGTCCTTGAATACCTTCCAGTGGAACAGGAAAAGATGTGGAGGTGGAAGACAGTGATATTGATGATCCTGACTTAGGCTAATGTTTGTGTCTTAGTTTTTAAATAAAGTTTTAAAATAAAATTGAAAAAAATTAAACCTTAAAAATAGAAAAAAGTCTTATAGAGTAAAGAGATAAAGAAAAAATTTGCCAAGCGTGGTGGCTCACTTCTGTAATCCCAGCACTTTTGGAGGCCGAGGCGGGAGGATCACTTGAGGTCAGGTGTTCGAGACCAGCCTGGCCAACATGGTAAAACCCCATCTCTACTAAAAATACAAAAATTATCCAGACGAGGTGGCGGAGGCCTGTAATCCCAGTTACTAAGGAGGCTGAGGCAGGATAATTGCTTGAACTCGCAAGGTGGAGATTGCAGTGAGCCAAGATTGTGCCATTGCACTCCAGCCAGTGCAACAAGAGCGAAACTCTGTCTCAAGAAAAAAAAAAAAATACGGCTGTACAATGTGTTTTAAGCTAAGCGTTATTACAAAACAGTCAAAAAGTTAAAAAAAAGCTAAAAAGTATAAAGTAAAAATGTTACAGTAAGCTAAGATTAATTTCTTATTGAAGAAATAAAATTTTTTTAAATAAATTTAGTGTAACCTAAGTGTAGTGTTTGTAAAGTCTTCAATAGTGTACAGTCATTTTCTAGGTCTTCACATTCACTCACCATCACTCACTGACTCACCACCAGCAACTTTCAGTTCTACAAACTCCATTCATGTTAAGTGCCCTATGTAGGTATACATTTTTTAAAATCTTTTACACCACATTTTTACTGTACCTTTTCTATGTGTAGATATAAACTTAATATTGTGTAGATATATACTTAGCATTGTGTTAAAATTGCCAACTATATTCAGTACAGTCACATGCTGTACAAATTTGTAGCCTTGGAGCGATAGGCTCTACTATATAGCATAGCTGTGTAGTAGGCTATACTGTCTACGTTTGTGTAAGTATACTCTGTATGATGTTCACACAATGACAAAATCACCTCATGATGCATTTCTCTGAAGGTATCGCCTTTGTTAAGTGACACATGACTGTATATGACTGTATATGTATTTATTTCAGTTTTAAAATAATCCCATTTCAACATTTCCAAGAATAAGATGCTTTTTTATTTTGAAGAAGCTTTTGTGATTTTGGACGGGATTTTAATTAGGAATTTAATTAAAATTACTAAGATAATGATTGAAATTCTATATTGATTTTCTTTTTTTTTTTTTTGAGATGGAGTCTCACGGTCACCCAGGCTGGAGTGCAATGGTGCGGTCTTGGCTCACTGCAATCTCCACCTCTTGGATTCTAGTGATTCTCCCCTCTCAGCCTCCCAAGTAGCTGGGACTACAGGCATATGCCACCACACCCGGCTAATTTTTGTATTTTTAGTAGAGACAGGGTTTTGCCATGTTGGCCAGGCTGGTCTCGAACTCCTGATCTCGTGATCCACCCACCTCGGCCTCCCAAAGTGCTGGGATTACAGGTGTGAGCCACCGCGCCTGGCTGATATTTTTTCTCTTAAGTTAGAACAAAATCCAGCCATGTCATTTATAATGCTGTTTGATTACAGTATGATCTTTCAATTATTAAGTAAAACTATTCCTTTTCTGTACTTAGGTATCCATAATTTTGATTTATTTACAGTGATTCATCAAGTGAATATTCTGATTGGACAGCAGATGCTGGAATAAATTTACAACCCCCAAAAAGACAAACGAGACAGACAACACGGAAAATATGCAGCAGCTCTGATGAGGAAAATTTGAAGTCCCTAGAAGAAAGGCAAAAGAAACCTAAGCAGACTAGAAAGAAGGTTTGTAACTTTATGAGTTATTTTGTTTTTGTTATTTTTTGTTTTTTTGCCTTTGATGCTTAAATATTTAATAGTAACATTGACTTTTCTCTAAAAATAACATTTCATCTGAGAAAGTAAGTAAAAGTAGTTTCACTTCAAAATGTAAAGAATTTTTGAAATTTTTCTGTTACCAAAGGTAGAGGCTAGAATGTTTCATTACAATTTGTTATTCAAACATATTCACAATCATTTGTTAAAATGTGGCAATGTCCTAAAATAAACTACTGTCTCACAAAATTATTATTCTTGTCACCTCTATCTGATAACATTTCTTATCTGACAACATTATTATTCTTGTCATGTGGTATTTTGAGTCCTAATTTTTAACATTTTTAACTTGTAACATGGAAGAGTATGATAAATTGTATAGGACTTTTCCTCCATTCCATTGTTTTTTGGTGTTTTTATTAGAGAGATGGGATCTCGTTATGTTGCCCAGAGTGGAGTGCAGTGGCTATTCACAGGCATAATCACAACACACTGCAGACTCGAACTGCTAGGCTCAAGCAATACTCCCACCTCAGCCTCCTGGTTAGCTGGGACTACTGTTGTGTACCACTGTGCCTGGCTTACCTTTATGTTTTTATTTCATCCCAGTGACAGTTTCTTTTCCCTACTATAAATTGATTTAAATGATTTAAAGACTTGGTTTATGTAGTTATTATAATTTTAACTTCAAAATTGATTATAGACACGTTCTGTAGTCTTTTGCTTTAGTAGACATAATTATTTTCTAGATTATCACTATTTTATGGGCAAAAACTTATTCTTACATTTGAATTCATGTGGTAGTCAAGAGACATATGTAAAAGTTATGGTTTTCAGGTAGTATATAGTGTCAAGTTATTACCTGTCAGTTAAAATTTAGTAACGGGATTTTTTTATTGCCAGAAAAGTTGTATGTAATAAAGCAAAATCATTCAAATTTATATACGTTAGGTTTCATTGTATCCTGAAATTTTTAATCTTCTCTGCCTAGTATTTTTCATACTATTGTTTATGTGTTTTATGTATTGGAGAACTGTGTTTTATACATATACTGTTCATGTTTTTATGTTTTAGAAAGGAGGACTGGTTTCTATGGCAGGTGAGCCTAATGAAGAATGGTTTGCCCCTCAGTGGATCTTGGATACTATACCCCGACGTTCCCCATTTGTTCCACAAATGGGAGATGAGGTAATTGTTACCTGTTATAACCTTTTTCTGTGTAGCCTCAAGAGCACTAACCTTAATCAGTCTGAATATATTTATATTCCTAATTCCATTATAATAATATATACAGTATCTTATCTGCTCTGCTTAATTATATATTTCTTGTGGAAGGTGATTGAACAGTATTAATCTTTGTATCCTTCGTAGGGCCTGGCACAGTAGCTTCAGTCTATTAGATGCTCATTGAATATGGAGATAAATTAATCAGCTTATGAAGTCATGAAAATAATTGGCTTTATTTTAATCTGAATTACCACTTAGTAGAATTGAGTGGTATTTTGAGTCCTCATTCATGTTCCAATATTTTTTTTTAAAAGAAAAGTTCAACCTGAAAGAAAGTACACAAGAAGGTATTCACTCCTTTAAATGAGTAGGGGAATGTAATTTTGCAAACAGGTCTTTCTTTCTGAGTCTGTGATTGACAAGTATAGCCATATTTATTATTGGCCAAAAATTAATCAAAATTCTACCTGGTAAACAAATTTCATTTTATTTTGAAATTTAGTATTATTTTATAAAATAATAAAATAATATTGGAACATTAGAACTCTTTTTGGCTTGGATATTGTCTGATATACTAATTTTTTTTTATTGATTCAATGTTTTTACACAGTTTTAAATTTAAGAGTGATAGTAGAAATGTAATATTGTCACTGCAGCAGCAGAAGGAGCAAAACCTTGCAAATTGACTCTAAACATTTTGGGAACAATAAAAATTTTACAAAACTTTTTTGTAATTGCCTCTTATAGAGATCTTATATCAGAGTAGCTATCAAGTAGCCTTACAAATAAATTATTACCTGCTGATTATCTTTAGATATTTTTAAATGTTTCTTTTGATGTTTTCTTATAGGTATTGGACTTCTGAGTAATGCTTGTTTGCATAATTATGTTAATAAATATTTTCTGACGAATGCTATACTTAAAAACAGAGAACTTGTAAAATGTTATTGGCATATCTCAAATCACTATTTCTTATAGTTATTGCCTGTTTTTATTTTCTGGAGGCAGAAGAGGAGTCATGTTTAATTACCTTAGAAAACTTTATAGAACAAAACAAGGATCTATACACTCTAGGATCTGATGAGACTCCTCCTGTCTAAGGACCATTTTTCTCCATTCTTTGGTTGAATTCCTTTTCCTCTATGTTGTTAAACTTACTATATCCTTATATGCTTCAAGACTAATGTATATGAGGTGAAGACAGTTCTTCAGGTAATGAGGAAGATGTATGTAAATCAGACAATGAATATGTAGAGAATGTTTTTAAAGAAATTATAAAGGCAAACATACACTTTTTATATAATTCATTTCTTAATGGCAACATTACTTTTTACTTCATCTTACTATTAAGCCTTTATTGTCTTGCCTAGATATCCCTACCCACAGATCATTGCTTCTTAAAATTATCATTTTCAAGGTCTAATTCAAATACTAACTTTTCCAGGATGTTGTCCTTGTTTTTCATTGACCAGTTCCTCTGTCCTCATAAGCTTTTCTACCTCAATTATCTTTCTCTTCTGATATATAATATATTCTACCTTGCGTTATAGTTATATATCCACATGTGCTTCCATATCCTAGAGGAAATGTTTTTATACCTTATCACAGCATCTAGTGCCTATACATAGATGTTCAATGATCAGTATTTGTTGAGTTCAGGAATGAATATATAATAAAGGATATCTTAATGTCATGTGTATTATTGGTTTTTAACCCTTACAATTATTTTATTTACTAATTTTAAACCTTTTTTATTTTCTGCTCAAATTTTTAGCTATTAGAAATTCTAACTTAGTATTGATTGGTAGAGTATGTTAATGTATTTTAGAAATCTCATAATATGGTATTTTTTGTTACTTTCTTCTATTTACTTATCTCTATCACTACTTTTTTTTTTTTTTTTGACCGACTCTTGCTCTGTTGCCCAGGCTAGAGTGCAGTGGAGCTATCTTGGCTCACTGCAACCTCTGCCTCCTGGGTTCAAAGCGATCCTCCTGCCTCAGCCTCCAGAGTAGCTGGGATTACAGGCGTGCACCACCATGACCAGCGAAGTTTTGTATTTTTAGTAGAGACAGAGTTTCACCATGTTGGCCAGGCTGGTCTCGAACCCCTGACCTCAGGTGATCTGCCCGCCTCGGCCTCCCAAAGTGCTGGGATTACAGGTGTGAGCCACTGTGCCTAGCCTCTATCACTGCTTTTAAACTTGAGGAAAAGAAACTTTTTGTAATAAATACAGAAAACGATAGTAAATGGTGGCTTAAAGAGCTGAAGAATTAAGTAATTGAATTCATTTTCCTTCCATAATATGCCAGTTCTGACATGAACTCCTGTAACAGGCAACTTTTAATTTGCCTTGAAATTACTCCATTTACTAACCTGTGATTTATACTGTTTATATGAAATGTGTAGACTGAATATTAAAATTTTGATAGAGTGTCAGTTATAATTTGAAGTATAGTATAGCTGTCCTTTGGTATCCACACAGAATTGGCTCTAGCACCCCTTGCAAATAACAGAATCTACAAGGACATTATATAAAAGGCCTAGTATTTGCATATAACCTATGTACATCCTCCTATATACTTTAAATTATCTCTATATTATGATACCTAATACAATGTAAATGCCGTATTAATTGTTGTTATACGATACTGGTTTTTTATTTGTATCATCATTTATATATTTATTTATTTATTTATTTATTTATTTATTTATTTATTGTGAGGGAGTTTTGCTCTTGTTGCCCAGGTTGGAGTGCAATGTTGTGATCTCGGCTCACTGCAACTTCCACTTCCCGAGTTCAAGTGATTCTCCTGCCTCAGCCTCCCGAGCAGCTGGGATTACAGGCATGTGTCACCACGCCCAGCTAAATTTTGTATTTTTATTAGAGACGGGGTTTTGCAACGTTGGTCAGGCTGATCTCGAACTCCTGACCTCAGGTGATCCACCTGCCTCAACCTCCCAAAGTTCTGGGATTAAAGGCGTGAGCCTCCATGCCCGGCGTAATTGTGTTGTTTTATATATCTATATCTATAGAAAATATCAAATATTTTCAACCTGCAGTTGATTGGATTTGATGATGCAGAAGCTGTGGATATGGAGGGGCACATATACTTTAAAATATGACCAGTTTTGTGTACATTTTCCGTGATTCTGCTTCTTCAGCACACTTATGAAGCTGATTGAAGGGAAAGGACTGTGTTTACTGTGTTTATATGATGTGGTAATGAGCACAGGGCTACATAGGCGTGAGTACTGAATTAACATAATTTGAAACCTTTATTGTATGAAGTCTTTCAGTATTATAATTATTTCTTTCTGCAAACAGAAGAGGATGTTTGTAGGAATGTATATTGGACATACAGTGTTATATAGGATGCTGCTGTTTAATACCTTATGTTTTCTGTTTTAGCTTATCTATTTTAGGCAAGGACATGAAGCTTATGTTCGGGCTGTAAGGAAATCAAAAATATACAGTGTTAATTTACAAAAACAGCCATGGAACAAAATGGATCTCAGGGTAAGTTTGCCAAATTCATAAGCTATGCAATTGAAGTAGCTTTGGAATTAAATTGCTTACCCATGGTTTTTTTCCTCAGTTTTATGAATATTTCACTGTTGATTGTGTATCCAAGATAAGATGGTGTACTATACTCTTGTAGAACTGAATATTATGGATCACATTTTATATGTTTCTTAAAATTTGTATGCTATTTTCTATTGTCTAGTCTATACTAGTCCATAATTAGAGCAAAGCAGGAGTTCCCTTGTGTGGATATTTTCTCTAATCAGCAACTTTGTATGTTCTGGATGCTTCATAAACTGAGCGTGTAGACTATAAACACTCTCAAGGTTCTGACAGCTTTGGTATATATTAAATATGATAAATCACAATAAGCCCCGAAACTTATGGTGTTTTGTAAAATAGCTGTTTTAATATATTACCCATGTAGCTACATATATAATACCCATGTGGCTCCACACTTTATGGAGAATGATTTTGTCAATAAATATTTCATTCATTTGTGTATATATATGTGTGTCTATATATGCACACGTGCACATACAGACAGACATAGGTATACATTCACCACCATTTCTACCTAGGTTTATTTGTGTTTCAGTTTGGTTTTCTGAACAAGAGACTAAAGGGCCATTTTATGATAGTTTTCCAGGTAAATGAAGGGTTGTGTGATGATTCTTGACAGGAAGGATATAAGAGAGAATATGTATATTTATTTATTTATTTTTTATTTCTTTTGAGACAGAGTCTCACTCTGTTGCCCAGGTTGGAGTTCAGTGGCCCTATCTCGCCTCACTGCAACCTCCGCCTCCAGGGTTCAAGTGATTCTTCTGCCTCAGCCTCCTGAGTAGTTGGGATTACAGGCACATGCCACCACGCCTGGCTAATTTTTGTATTTTTATTGGAGACGGGATTTCGCCATGTTGACCAGGCTAGTCTTGAACTCCTGACCTCAGCGTGATCCACCCACCTCAGCTTCCCAAAGTGCTGGGATACAGGCATGAGCCACCATGCCCAGCTGAGAATATGTATATTTATTAAAATAAAGATTTGATTTAGATGTTTGTAAAACTTTTTATTAATGTCATCAGGTGGTAAAGTAGCTTATCACGTGAGCTTTACATAATCATCTTCTGGAAGATAGGGACAGCTTCCATCTGTTCTGCATCAAGTAAAAGTTGAGTTCTTCTTTAGATTCACAGGACTGAATAAAACATGTGATTTCTTTTTTTTTTTTTTTTTTTTTTTTAAAAAAACAGAGTCTTGCTCTGTCACCTAGGCTGGAGTGCAGTAGAGCGATCTCCACTCACTGCAACCTCTGCCTCCCAGGTGCAAGCAATTCTCCTGCCTCAGCCTCTCGAGTAGCTGGGATTACAGGCGCCCACTACCACGCCTGTCTAATTTTTGCCTTTTTAGTAAAGATGGGGTTTCACCATGTTGGCCAGGCCGGTCTCAAACTCCTGACCTCAGGTGATCCACCCTCCTTGGCCTCCAAAAGTGCTGGGATTACAGGAATGAGCTGCCGCATCCAGCCAAGTTCTTTCTTTTTATCCTAACCTTGTTGTTCTAGGAAATTGTAGGAGCAGCTTATATGTGGTAAATGAGCTTAGCCTTTGGAATAAGACCTGGATTTCAATTGTAGCTCTGCTATATGCTAGTATATAACTTTAAGCAGGACCCTATACCTACAAAGATCAGTTTTGCCATCAGTTAAATGTGACTAATAATTAGTGAATGTGTATGATTATTGTAAGATCATATCCAGAATCTATAAGGAACTTAACAAGCATAAAAACAAACAATCTCATTAAAAAATGGATAAAGGACATGAACAGACACTTCTTAAAAGAAAATGTATAAGTGGCCAACAAACATGTGAAAAAATGCTAAAACATCACTTATCATTAGGGAAATGCAAATCAAAACCACAAGATACCATCTCACACCAGTCAGAATGGGTATTATTAAAAAGTCAAAACAAACAAACAGATGCTTGTGAGGTTGTGGAGAGGGGAGAATACTTATCCACTACTGGTGGGAATGTGAATTAGTTCAGCCACTGTGGAAAGCAGTCTGGAGATTTCTCAGAAAACTTAAAGTAGAACTACCCAAATTCCATTACTGGATGTATATCCAAAGGAATATAAATTGTTCTACCGTGAAGACACATGCACACGCATGTTCATCATAGCACTATTCACAATAGCAAAGACATGGAATCAATCTAGATGCCCGTCAGTGGTAGACTGGATAAAAAAAAATGTACATATACATCATGGAATACTATGTAGCTATAAAAAAATGAGATCATGGCCTTTACAGCAACATAGATGAAGCTGAAGGCCATTATTGTAAGTAAAACAGCTAAAAAACAAAAAATCAAATACTACATGCCCTCACTTACAAATGGGTACTAAACAGTTGGACAATTGGACATGTAGATGGAAATGATAGACACTGGGGACTCCAAAGGAAGGGAGATTAGGAGAGGGATAGGGTTTAAAAAATTAGCTATTTGGTACAATGGTTACTCTTTGGAGGATGGGTACACTAGAAACTCAAACCCCACCATTATGCAATATATCCATGTAACAAACCTGCACGTGTACCCCATGAATCTAAAGTAAAACAAAAACAACAAAAAAGATAATGTTGTAGATATTAAAAAGTATAAGTCTTCACCCCAAACATGTACACGTACATATATACCTGTATGCTTACATATTGTGTTTTTGCTAGGGGAGTGATTTTTAACCAGAGCATCATACTGCACTAGGGAGTTTTTCCAAAATAGATATATTACCAAGCTGTACCCCAAACATAGAATTCGATTCTATAGGTATAGGATTTCAGAACATTAAATTTGAAGCATTTCCCCAGGTGATGTGGCTGCTCATTCTTGGTTTAGATCCTTGCACTAAACTACAACCTGCTATTAAGAGTTAAGAGCCATGTCTTATTACCTTTAACACTTAGTGTAGTGCCCGGCATTTAGAGAATCTTCAGATATTAATAAATTATTCAAGTAATAATGAAATACTATGCAAATGTTAAGTAATTATTTATATTGAAAGTAATAATTTATTGGTATTCTCATGAATAGGAGCAAGAGTTTGTTAAGATTGTAGGAATCAAATATGAGGTTGGCCCACCCACACTGTGCTGCTTGAAGCTTGCATTTCTGGACCCAATTTCAGGCAAAATGACTGGAGAATCTTTTTCCATTAAGTGAGTAGTTATCTCTGGGTCTCTGTGTTTGAGTGTGTGTATTTTAATACCTATTGTATATTCTACAGAGTACAGGGCTCAATGGGAGAGAAAACACTATAGCATTCTGTACTACAGGGTTTAGAATTATAAAGACCAGAGTTTAATTCCTAGTTTGTTTCTCCATTTTATTTATATTTGTATGTGTGTGTGTGTGTGTGTGTGTGTGTGTGTATGTATTTATGTTATGGATACTTAGATAGATAGGTTCATAAGCAAGTTACTTAACCTCTCTGAATTTGTGTCTTCATTTGTAAAATGGAAATGGTAATCTCTTCCTAAAGATTGTTGTGAGGCATCAAAGATAAACCTTTATAATTCCCTAATCGAATGTTTGAAACATGGTAGTTGCTTTTTTTTTTTTTTTTGAGACGGAGTCTTGCTGTGTCGCCCAGGCTGGAGTGCAGTGGCCGGATCTCAGCTCATTGCAAGCTCCGCCTCCCGGGTTTTTACGCCATTCTCCTGCCTCAGCCTCCCGAGTAGCTGGGACTACAGGCGCCCACCACCTCGCCCGGCTAGTTTTTTGTATTTTTTAGTAGAGACGGGGTTTCACCGTGTTAGCCAGGATGGTCTCGAACTCCTGACGTTGTGATCCGCCCGTCTCGGCCTCCCAAAGTGCTGGGATTACAGGCTTGAGCCACCGCGCCCGGCCGGTAGTTGCTTTTATTTCTGTTAATAATAACAGGAATAATAAGTCAGAGACTCTTTATGTGAAGCTGAGTTTAAAATGTAAGGAGATTAAAGAACATTAATTCATACTCCTTAATATAAAATACCTCATATTAATGTTTATAAACCTCTATTGGCATCTTTATATTTTTAAAGTAATATGACAGTAGGCAGGGCACTCTCAAACAGATCAGATAAGATGGTGTTTAAGTAAAGGCATTTCTAGGGACTGTGAGGTTTGCACAATTTTCATAATGGGTCTACAATAAACATATATCCTTGGACATTTAGCAACATATATTGTTATATCTCTATATTGATTCATATGTGCTTTATTTTCTGTATAGGTATCATGACATGCCAGATGTCATTGACTTCCTTGTGCTACATCAGTTTTATAATGAAGCCAAAGAAAGGAACTGGCAGATTGGTAAGTATAGAATTGTTTTTTAATAACTATTAAGCTTATGTATAGTAAGTAACTTTTTAACTGTGATTGAACAGAAAGAAACTAGCTTATCATTTAGCTGAAAAAAGCTATCAGAGAAACTAGAAAACTTAAGTTAAAATTTCCTTTTAGTTATTTCTCATGCACATTGTATGTGGCATATAATCTCTAAACCTTCTGCAAATATCTACTCTATTAGTATACAAATAGGAATATAAAGAAAATTCGCAAATGTCAGTTGCCCTAAAATAGAGCACTTTACACTTAGGTTCTAAAACAGATGATTACTGATTGTGATTTGTTTCCTTTTTTCCTTCTTCCATCTTTGTTTCCCTCCCTGTCACCTTCCCACCCTCTTTTGCTCCTTTACCTTCCTTCCTTTTCTTTTTTGATTATAAAAAACAGTATAACAATAATGTAAAGGAAAACATTTTAAAAGTTAAAGAAATTTGCTTGTAGCTCTATTGTGTAACAATACAATACAGAACATAAGGATTTTTAAACTATTGACTTTTTTGCACACTTAATTACTTTGGCCTGAATTTTAAAAATCTAATTGTAGCCATACGTATTAGTTCATTTTCACACTGCTATAAAGATACTACCTGAGACTGGGTAATTTATAAAGAAAAAATTGTTTATTTCACAGTTCCACATGACTCGGGAGGCCTTAGGAAATTTACAATCATGGCAGAAGGCAAAAGGGAAGCAAGACTTTCTTCATATGGCTGCAGGAGACAGAGAGTTAGAAGGGGAAGTGCCACACTTTCAAACCATCAGATCTTGTGAAAACTCACTTACCATCACGAGAACAGCATGAGGGAAATTGCCCCTATAATCCAATCAGCTCCCACCAAGTCCCTCCCCGGATGCCAGGGGATTAGATTTCAAGATGAGATTATGGTGGGGACACAGAGCCTAGCCATGTCATTCAGCCCCTGGACCCTCCCAAATCTCATGTCCTCATTTCAAAACCAATCAACAGTCCCCCAAAGTCTTAACTCATTCCAGCATTAACTCAAAAGTCCACGTACAAAGTATCATCTGAGACAAGGCAAGTCACTTCTGCCTATGAACAAGTTTGTTACTTGCTAGATATAATGGGGGTACAGGCATTGGATAAATACACCCATTCCAAATGGGAGAAATTGGCCAAAACAAAGGGACTGAAGGCTCCATGCAAATCTGAAATCCAGCGGGACAGTCAAATTTTAAAGCTCCCAAATGATCTCCTCTGACTCCATGTCTCACATCCAGGTCACGCTGATGCAAGAGGTGGGTTCCCATGCTCTTGGGCAGCTCCATCCCTGTGACTTTGCAGGGTATATCCCCTTTCCCAGCTGCTTTCACAGGCTGGCGTTGAGTGTCTGCAGCTTTTCCAGGCACACTGTGCGTGCTGTCGGTGAATCTGCCATTCTGGGGTCTGGAGGACGGTGACCCTCTTCTCACAACTCCACTAGGCAGTGCCCCAGTGGGGGCTCTGTATGGGGGCTCCAACCCCACATTTGCCTTCTGCACTGCCCTAGCAGAGATTCTCCATGAGGGCTCTGCCCCGGCAGCAGACTTTTACCTGGATATCCAGGCATTTCCATACATCCTCTGAAATCTAGGTGAAGGTTCCCAAACCTCAATTCTTGACTTCTATGCATCTGCAGGCCCAACACCACGTGGAAGCTACCAAGGTTTGGGGCTTGCAACCTTTGAAACAACAGCCTGAGCAATACCTTGACCCCTTTTATTCATGGCTGGAGCTGGAGCAGCTGGCAAACAGAGCACCAAGTTCCAAGTGTGCACAGAGCAGGGGGGCAGCCCCAAGAAACCATTTTTTCCTTCTAGGCCCCGGGGCTTGTGATGGGAGGGGCTGCCTTGAAGAGCTCTGACATGCTCTGGAGACATTTTCCCCATTTTCTTGATGATTAACATTTGACTCCTAGTTACTTATGCAAATTTCTGCAGCTGGCTTGAATTTCTCCTCAGAAAATGGGTTTTTCTTTTACTTTTTCTTTTTCTTTTCTTTTTTTTTTTTTTTTTGAGACAGAGTCTCACTCTGTCGCCCAGGCTGGAGTGCAGTGGCCAGATCTCAGCTCACTGCACGCTCCGCCTCCCGGGTTTATGCCATTCTCCTGCCTCAGCCTCCTGAGTAGCTGGGACTACAGGCACCCGCCACCTCGCCTGGCAAGGTTTTTGTATTTTTTAGTAGAGATGGGGTTTCACCGTGTTAGCCATGATGGTCTTGATCTCCTGACCTCGTGATCCGCCCGTCTCGGCCTCCCAAAGTGCTGGGATTACAGGCTTGAGCCACCATGCCGGGCCAGGTTTTTTTTTTTTATAGTATCAGTCATCAGGCTGCAAAATTTCTGAACTTTAATGCTCTGTTTCCCTTTTAAAGATAAGTTACAATTCTAAACAATATCTTTGTGAATACATAAAACTGAATACTTTTAACAGCAGCCAAGTCACTCCTTGAATGCTTTACTGCTTAGAAATGTCTTCCACCAGATACCTTAAATCATCTCTCTCAAGTTCAAGGTTCCACAGATCTCTAGGCCATGGGCAAAATGCTGCCTGTGTCTTTACTATAGCATAGCATGTGTGACCTTTACTCTAGTTCCCAATAAGTTCCTGATCTCCATCTGAGACCACCTCAGCCTGGACTTCATTGTTCATATGACTATTAGCATTTTGGTCAAAACCATTCAACAAGTCTCTAGGAAGTTCCAAACTTTCCTACATCTTCCTTGATTTATAGCCTGCCTTGAAAATCTGTAATATACAAACTAGTATGAAGAGATTTTTAAAGAAAGCTAAAAGCAAGATAGAAGAATCAATTGCATTTATGTACATATGTAATACAATAAGAAGTGTGCCTAATGATGATGCTAAGGAATTGAAAAAGTTATCATTTATTTAAGAAGACGTGGTCATATGTAATTTATTTCAGCAAGATTTCTACCACTTGGAAATCAAAATACATGAAGAGGTTAAAACGTAAAATAATCACTTATCTCGAAAACCTAGATGGAAGCTTCTGATAATGCTAGATACAATGTTACTTCTGTAGTCAACAAAAAGCAGTAATTTAGAGTGGGAACAGAGCTAATATTCTCAAGAGCATCCTTTTAAAAATTTTAAAACGTTATAGGTGATAGATTCCGCAGTATAATAGATGACGCCTGGTGGTTTGGAACTGTGGAGAGTCAGCAGCCTTTTCAACCAGAGTATCCTGATAGTTCTTTCCAGTGTTATAGTGTTCAGTAAGTATGTTTATGATCTTTTATGCCTAATATGATATTGTAGTAGTATGTGGACTTTTAAAAACCTCCACCAGGAGTAATGCCCTTTTATCTGACTTATCTAGTCTCACAATACCTGTACCTGTAAAGAAGAAATTTGATGGTAAAGTGCTCAGTTCTTCCCTTGTTTTAGTCAAAGCAAAGTTCTTTGTTTTCTTTGACTAAAACAAAGGAATAACTAAACACTTTATTTCTACCTCTTTTATTGTCTGCATTTTTTATTAACTATTTCTGCTTCAGACAAGAATTGCAACTATTTTTTAATGGGAAATACGGAAACTAATTTACTACTTAAAGTAATTGTTATTGCTGGAATATAGCAATGAATATTAGTACTTAGTCTTTTGTTTAGTCGTATGAATTCTAGGCAGAGGTGGTTGCCTCATGTTTGGAAGTACTATTTGTTTGCAACATTTACTTTAATTCTTCTTGAAAATCCAGAGTTGTAAGATTGCTAATGAATAAATCCTCTCAAGAATGATAGAAGAAATGTTCATTCTATGAGGACTGACTTTCAGTCTCTGTATTGACTAAAAGTAGGCTTTCTGCCCTCTAAGTTTCATAGAGATGGACCATGTTTTCTCTATTAGAAGTTTATTGTTATCTGTATATAACCAGAGTTGTACTTTCAAGACAACTGTATTGCCCTTTTCAAATCTCACCCCCAAGAAGTCATGTAAAATTGTGGTAGTATATGAAAGGAAGTACTCTATGATTAATTTGATTTGCATCTTCTTATTTTTTAATAGCTGGGACAATAATGAGAGAGAAAAGATGAGCCCCTGGGATATGGAGCCAATTCCAGAAGGAAGTAAATATGCTTTTAAAAATGAATTATAATTCTTTTAAAAGTAAAATGATATTCACGTGATACTGGAAACTAATTTTTTTCTGATTTTTTTTTTAATCTTATACCTAGCTGCCTTTCCAGATGAAGTTGGTGCTGGTGTCCCTGTCTCCCAGGAAGAATTGACTGCTTTGCTATATAAACCCCAGGAAGGAGAGTGGGGGGCTCATTCCAGAGATGAAGAATGTGAACGGGTTATTCAGGGCATCAACCACCTTCTTTCCCTGGGTATGATGAATGTGAAAAAATTTTAGGAGCATGCAGAGGAGCTAGGAAAATCAGCAGAAATTTTAAGTTCTACAAAAGGATATACGGTTTCTCACTGTACACTTTAAACTCAAGAAGCACAGTGATTCTAGTTTTAATATTAACAGTTTTATATGCTTGGCCAAAGTAATAACTGATAATTTTCTTTAAGCAATCTGGGGGATAATAGTAAGGTAACCATGTAAGTGTCTATTTCCTTTTTGCATCACTTTGATTCTCTAGCTATTCCCTGAGCCTGACTTTGGATGGGTTTTTTGGTAAGGACAGTGGATGAGTAATGTATTTTACCCACGTGAATAGTTAAATTTTCTAAAACATGTCACTTGAGAAGTTTGGCATTTATCTAGGAAAGACAGAAATCTGAAGTTAAACCCAGTGCTCCTCTAATTTTGTTTTACCTGATTTGAACCAGTGTATCATGCATGATTCATAGATATGATATCCAAATATAAAGAATAACATTCTGTTTGTATAATGGAATCCTCATGGTTTTAGAAATGTAGTATATCACCCTCCCTTCTTGTTTATATATGAATAAATGTTTGTTACCATGAGATGTTAATGTCCTTTATAGCTACCTTATTTGATTTTGATGATTTTGTAGATTTTGCCAGCCCTTTTGCTGTTCCAGTGGATCTCAGTGCCTACCCCTTGTATTGTACTGTAGTTGCTTATCCAACTGACCTCAATACCATCAGGCGGAGACTTGAAAATCGCTTTTACAGGTCTGTTTTTTTTTAATCACTTATTATAAAATTTATAGCTTTATGGCTTTTGCTTTCCTTTTTGAGATCTGTGTTTTCATAGTATAACATGATCATCCAAAAGATCCACACCAAAATTTCCTTTAAAAATTTAGAACATTAATTTCCCTTTATTTAGTAGATTCTCACTCTTGGGGATAGAGAAGAAAGGCTGAGAGGAAAATATGGGTAGTACAAATGGTGTGTAAAACAAAAACTACATTTAACTTTAGTTTATTAAAGGCAATTTAAGTGGTTTGTGGATTCATCATGATTAAGGTGCTACTGATTTGGAGCATGTTTAAATCCTCTGTTGGAGAATTTGGTCACAGTTAATTAGATTTAGTTACCAGCCCTGAAATATATACAGGAAAGGAGCCAAGTAATTTTTTTCTTTGTTTTGGTTGGGATGGGAGATGATTATGGGAAGGCAGTAGAGGGCATTTCTTGGTCCATCTCTCATCCACGTCTCCTACTGACCACAGTATTCCATGACTGGTTAATCTGCCTTTGCAATTGAGAACTGGTTATATTTTCATAACATATTATTTTGATTTGATATTTATATCATAACAGTAATTAGATAAAAATCTGTCATTTTTTAGAATCTGGTTTTTGTTGTTGTTGTTGTTGCTCTTCTTGGTTCTTCCCCTGAAAACTAAAGTAAACATTCTTTTGACCTTGTCTAATGACTCTTTACCCATAATGTCCTAGGTCAGTTTAAGTTTTGTATATACATTCCAGTGGTTCAAAATCCCTGCTTGTGCTTTAAATACTGTAACTATATCATCTCCTTTTAGTGCTCATCAGTCAAATATATTGAGTTATACGCATATTGGAACACCTTTGACATATTATGTTTAAGTACATATTTGGTCCATATTGTATAATCCTAAAATATACTCTAAATATATCAGCCAAGACTAACAGAGTATTTTTTGTTTCACAGGAGAATATCAGCATTAATGTGGGAGGTACGCTATATTGAGCATAATGCCAGGACTTTCAATGAGCCAGACAGTCCTATAGTTAAAGCAGCTAAAATTGTAACTGATGTCTTACTTCGATTTATTGGGTAAGAAGCAGTTTTAGCTTCCAGAGAATCTAACTTAAGGTTTTTAAAAAATGAATTAAAAAAAAATTAATTGAAAACTTGTAAAAATTACTGAAGCTATTGACTTGTTTCTTAGGGATCAGAGCTGTACTGATATACTGGATACTTATAATAAAATTAAAGCAGAAGAACGAAACAGTACTGATGCAGAGGAGGTAAGAATCACAGCATGATTAGTAGGAATGAGTTACTTTTCTCTTATTTGAAGTACAGTATTATGTGTAAATGTTGTAATTGGCCATGAACAGCAAAACAGATTTTTGAAAGCTGGCTGAATACCAGCGTCTTTTAAAGTGTACTTAGATGGCATATATCAAAAATAAAATAGTGCTGCAGGGTTTATTCAGAGACAGGGGGCCAGTCATCATATTTGACACAGTGGGTGTAAATGATGAGAAATCAACACTTTATTTTCAACGTTTAGAAACAAGACAGGTGCTCAATATTTAAAAAAAAATGCTTAGTTGATGGAAATTTCAGTAAGGATGTTATTTTCTATATGCTGTATAGAAAATATTAAAGTATTTTAAAGTTTCAGGCTTGAAAGTCTAAATTTTCAGTAGTTTCGTGAAATTGCTACTCGATTTCCTTTCTGAAAATGTATAAAGATAAACCAGTCTCTTCTGAATGAAATGGAAGTAGTACGCAGCAGACCCTCATATTCCTGATTTCCCCCTGTGTTTCTAATTTACACAAAGCCATATTTGACTGGAGGTTATGATCGAAACAAAAACCAAAATAGAGGTTGGAACAATATTGGAAAGTGGTAATTCACAAATCTTTACTGGAAAACAATTCATCCCAGGGATGAGTGACTCACATGTGCTAGATTGTGTTGCAGTGGCATGAGATATTTTGCATGTTTATATTATTTATACTGTTAATCTCCAGAATGGTAAATCTCCAATGCTGTTTTTAAAATTTTTTCGTGAAAGTGTGTCTGACAATGAAATATATTATTACAGTTAAATGTTATTTACATAATAAGGAAAACATGATATACCAATGAGATATTATTATAGTTTCTTGACACCTAAGAAAAATCTATCACTAATATTTTTTATATTTTCTTATATATTCCTTATATTTTCTCTGACCTTTCACATAAATGTATTTTAGCTCGAAATTTGGTGTAGCAGGAATTTCACCTCAGAGTAGCACTGTTTGGGTTAAAATAGAATACTTAAGTAAAAATATAACTCAACAGCTTTATTTTATTAGAAAGGAGTACCAATATCTCATGAGCTACTTTTGATTTTCTACTACATATTACCCAGTATTTCACCATCACTAGTGGTGCTTGGGTCTTGACTCTTCGTATTAAAAAAATTATGCCTTCGAGAGATACTTAACTGAAATAGATCTCTTTCCTATAGGAAAATATAAATGCATATTATATGAGATCTATTTCTTGAAATGGCAATGGAGTAATCATGAATAATTAATAATTGTATATTAAATGAGCATGTCATATAGAATAAGGTTTTTAAAAATTACTAACACTTAGGTACAATTTTAGCAAATAGCAACCACTATACTGTTCCCCTCCTTTCCGATTCTTATTTAAAGAGAAACCTTGTTTAATTCTTCTTCCAGTATATTTTCCAGCTTGTACACTGCATATTGGGAAAGTTTGGCGTGAGTCTCCCTCTATCTTTTGTTCTACTTGCTGCTTCAGTGGGGGAAGTTAACTGTGATTTTATTTCCCATTTATTTGTAAATGTCCATCTAATTTATATGACTTTGAATGTAACTTACAGTCTTTTCCCACTCTTCCTTTTTAATTTAGGATACAGAAATGGTTGATTTAGATTCAGACGGTCCTGGTACTTCATCTGGAAGAAGGGTGAGTAAATAAGTGAACTGCTGAGGAGATGCGTTTTCAGGTTTCCTGTGTCAGTGATCCCTAAGACCAACCCCATATTTGGAGAATTGCTAGAAGGATTCTTGTAACTAAGTATATTAGGTATGCTCATTGATAAGATTTACTACAGTGATGCAGTAAGGGTACTCAGTTGAGTAATGGGGGAAAAGACACCGGCAGAGTCTGGAGAAATTTATGTACAGGCTTCCTTATGCTATTAATGTCTTTCCCCTGTGTGGGGTCACATATCACACTCTTTTTCCAGCATGTGTGTGATTAGAGACTCAGTCCCCAAAGATTTTACTGGGGGCTGGTTATTTGGGTACCCTCTAACTATCACATACTGAGATTCCAGATTCCCAGAAGAAATCAGGTATTCAGCACAAATCACATTGTTTATACTGTCTAGGGGCAGTAAACTGTCTTAATAATTTAGGAAGCCGTTCAAATGCCAAGTTCCCAAATGCCAGCCAAGGCAACCTTAGAAGCAAGCTCTGGCCTACTTTGTTAACTCTTTTGTGCAGACTTCTGCTCTATAATAATTAGACATGTAGTTATTTTATATAAGGAACAATATATTTTGAAATACTGAAAGAGATCGTAACAAAATCAAATGGTACAGAACAGAATTTATCATGACCTCAAAGGATTTCTGGGAAACAAAAATCATTCAAGTGTTCTTTTGAGAAAAATATGATGCCATTGTCAAGTATACTTAACTACCAGCAAATATTAAGGCATTATAACTTGATCTTGTAGAGGAAGGAAGCATTTGTTCCTCTGTACCTTATTTGAAGTTCAGATTTGAGTACTAGAATTCTTGCAATTTCCATGAATATAATGTCTAGGTTTTTTTGCTCATTAATTATTTTTGCCAGTGAAAATACTGTCTGATTTAAGCTAAGAATCTAAAATAGCAGCTGCGCTATATATATACAGATAGATATATTAACATTAGGGACTCATGAGAAAATCAATTGAGTTAAGGAAAGATCTTTTACATATAACTCTATTAAAATCTGTAGGTCAAATGCCGAGGCAGAAGACAGTCTTTAAAGTGTAATCCTGATGCTTGGAAAAAACAATGCAAAGAACTATTGAGCCTCATTTATGAACGTGAAGACTCAGAGCCATTTCGACAGCCAGCCGATCTTCTTTCTTACCCAGTAAGCATACAGTAGTTTAAATAATCATCAGTATGATAATTTCCCATAAATGTCCATGCTAAAATCTAGATAAGAGCAATGTTCTCACTCCCTGCTTTCCTTTCTTTTTTTCCAGTCTTTTGATTGTGAAAGTAGTAGTGTGACTAGTTGATTTTTTTAAAAATGCCATTGTGTCTTCAGTGTGTAAATTATACAGTTGTTAAAGAAAAATTTGAATCAGAGTTCATTTGCTATTCTTTCCCACTTTTATTTCAGATGTTTATTTAATACATTTTACTAAACTCGAATACACCTCTGTACACTGTAGATGTTTGGTGACATGTCAATCCTGTGTAATTTATACTGAACGTGTTATCAATATGGCCACTTAGAGTAGCCAGTATACCAGTATGACTTTTCTTTGCAATGAAGGTAAAAGGATGACAACTTTGATTGTAGGATTTATTTTCTGGGAGTGTATCTATTCACTGAGGTAGTATAGATAGCAAATCTATTTTAACTTTTTCAGAGAAGAGGTACAGCACTATTTTAGAAATACATCAGACCATCCTATGAGCTTACTACACATTGGTATTCTCTGTATACTGTGAGTCTCAGTTGGGAAAAAATATCATTCAAATAAGGAACAAGATTGTGTTCAACAGAATTTGTTTGTTTGCTTGTAGGGAGTTTGGGTAAAATAAATTAGTCTTGTGTTTTTCATAGCAAAGGAGAATGACGAATGTATAATTCCTTCACCTAAAAGTACAGCCAATAAAAACATGATTCCAGTGTATAAATCTTTGAGACTTAAGTCATAATTGTATTACATGTCTTGATATTTTGTTATAGTTGTCTGGAAACCAGTATATACTCTTTACCCTAATAGGGTTATCAGGAGCAAGAGGGAGAATCCTCAGAGTCTGTTGTTCCAGAAAGACAACAAGATTCATCTCTTTCTGAGGTAGGCCTGGTAGTCTCTTAAAAGACGTACTGATTGTTTTTACTTTCTAAACTCTCCATACTGTACATGAACCTTTTATAATTTGTTAAGACTGCCTTCTAACTCTGCACCCTTTTTACCTTTGTTTGATTTTTTGATCATTTATTTTTTGTTCCTCTTTCTGAATCAACATGTGTTCTCAAGATTGTTCTTTGTGTCCTCCTTGTAAATGTTTACTTTTTAATGTAGATCTGAAGCTACTGTAGCAGAGTAGAAAACATCAATTACACAATATAATTGTGTCTGTATTGCAGCTGATTATTCCCACTGGAACTTCATTCAGCAAGCAGGCTGAGTCTCTTAAATTTTGTTCATCGTACTACACAAGTTCTAACATAAGCCATACTGTGTGTTAGAATACACTTCTGTTTTTTTATGATTTAAGAAAATAAGATATATTTAGAACATTTGTGATTTCTCATACTTTGAAAAATATTTTCTCTCTGTTTATAATACCTTTTATCTGTCCCCTTCTGGCTTTTTGGCTTTTCCTAGGAGGGAAATGTGGAGATTTTACTTCTTGATGATTCTAAATACAATAAGGAATCTAATACTGAGTATGGTTTTCACTCTGAAACTTGTTTTTGAGGCTTGTAGCATATATAAGAATTAAATTTCAGATGTAACTCCATCTGATAACCCTAGGAAAATCTTTACTGGATTTAGGTTAAAATGGAATCTCTCCTCTTCCCTAATCAAAATCAAATGAATTATGGACCTATAAGATGGAATCCCTTCGATGAAGCAAAGGTATCACATTGATTTAAAATCAAAAAGGAGAAAGGCACAAACATGACCAACTTGACTTTGTCCCTTAACTAATGACACTTAAGTAGAATGTTCTCATAGCAAGGAATCGTGGAAATATGTAGCTAATTTGTAGAGTGGAACAATTTAATGATATGTGAATAATCCCATCTTTTATCATTAAACAGTGTGCTGGGGTTTTGGAGGTTGTATCAGCCTTTAAGCAAGACATGGAAGCTGTAGAGATGAAGCCAACAGCTATGGATTTTCTATTCTTTCCCTTCGTAGTTATTTATGGTTATTACTGTAGTGTGAGGGCTAAGGCTTTCCCACAGACTTCTGCTGTTTTTATGAGCCACCGAAAGATGTTTTGGGGTTGTGGGGAGGTAGGTGGCACATTGAAAAGCAATGTGTTTATCTCATGGTGGATGGTAGTAGGTGATACCAATTGTAGTCCCATTGTATTCCTTAATATTGCTATGCAGTTTGAGTATTTAATAACACATTCTTCTTTGTAGGATTATCAAGATGTTATAGATACTCCTGTGGACTTCAGCACTGTGAAAGAAACTTTGGAAGCAGGAAACTATGGTAGTCCTCTGGAATTTTATAAGGATGTTCGCCAAATATTCAACAACTCCAAAGCTTATACCTCTAATAAAAAGTCAAGGGTATGATTATTAGTTGGGTTAATTATCAGGCAGTTTCCTTTAACCAGTTACTGAAATTTGATCCTCAGTATCTTTTTTGAAATATGGATTGCTTGTTAGGCATGCATAAAGATATATTTAGCAGTCATTCTGAAATTAACCGCCTTTTCCTTTCTCTTACTTGTCTCTTTACTCTTTAATAATGATTATTTATAGCTACTAGAGAAAGAACAAGGAGAGGAGAGATAGTAATTTGAGTACACTTTAGTATGTCTAATAAGTGGCTTAATAAATAGAAAGGGGATTGACAGTGTTAATTTATGTGAAATATTTTTATTAGCTCTGAATATGTATGTTCCATTTATTCTAACAGATAATAAACCATCTTGGGAAGTTGTAACTGCTTATTTATATTCACATTTAATATTTTCCCTATATTTTGTCAGAACTTAAAGTATATTCAGAATAGAAAAATAGTCATTATTTTTTTCTTTTGAAATCACTGGTATCTGATTAACTTTTAATCAGTTGCACAGTAAATATATACTTGCGTACTTCCACTTTGTGGAAAATGCATTTCCACTAATTTCTGCAAACATAATTTGTTTACACTTGCTTCCCCTCCCCCTTGATCCTGATTGCTAGAGTGAAATTTTCTATAGAAAGTTTGGGAAACACAGAGAAGTATAAAGAAGGAAACAAAAATCACCTGTGAAACCTATCACCTATTTTTACTTACAGTTACTGTTTACTTCCAGGATTTTCTACATTAACACATACATCTACATATGTTTATATATTCTTTATAATATTAGATTTTGTATTTTGAAGCATTTTTTGTTACTTAAGTATTATGAATGTTTTCCTGTGTCGTCATGACTCTTTGAAAACAAGGTTTTTAATGGTATTCTGTTGTGTGGTTGTTTTATGTTATAGTATAACCAGTGTTCTTTGGCTAGAGATTTAGGTTGTTTCCAGTTATTCATTTTACATGAATAATGCTATAGGTAATACCTTTAACATTCTTGAATATAATTTTTTATGTATATAATTCTGTGGTATTTCCTAGGGACAAATTCCCAGAAGTAAAATTATTAGCCAAAGGATGTGTGTATCTTTAAGGTTTTTTAGTACAGACTGTATATTGTCCTTTAGAATGCTGTTTCAATTTATATTCTCTCTTGCATTGTATCAGAGTCTTTTTTTTCTACCCTTTAGAATATTGAATACTATATTTGAAAAACATTTATTTTTAGGTGAAAATGGTATCCTACTTTAGTTATTTGAGAAGAATTTTTCAAGTGAACAAATATTTTGTCCGTAATGATGATGCTTAATGTTGGTCTAGGCATGTTTATACCTTTTTAAAAAATACAAAACTAGTTAAGACTATGTAATTTCTGCCTTCTCAGATTTATAGCATGATGCTGCGATTATCTGCCTTATTTGAAAGTCATATCAAAAATATCATCTCTGAGTATAAGTCAGCAATCCAGAGTCAGAAGAGGAGAAGGCCACGGTACAGAAAACGTCTAAGAAGCAGCAGCAGTTCGTTATCTAGTAGTGGAGCACCTAGGTATCATTACATTGATACAACATTTTTTTGTTCTCCAAGCATTTTGTGTGTATTACCTAATTTATGAAAGTTGATGAATAGTTTGAGGAGATCCCAAGAGGTCTTTTTGTTTGTTTCCTAAACTCTTATGCCTATGTAGAGTTAGTAACCAAAAGAACTATTTATGTGGATTTTACTATCCCAGAAACTTTTTTTTTAATTTTAATGATTGAAATTTCACTGTCAAATTATCTATTTCAAGCATTTTACATGAACTTTAGGGCATTTCCTCTTTGGTCAGCTAATACCTGACCTTGATACCTCTTTGTTTCATACTGTCTATCATAATATGTTGCTAACAGAAAAAAAAATGCTCGTTGTTACGTATTTTTACTTCCAGTCCAAAAGGGAAGCAGAAACAAATGAAGTTGCAGCCTAAAAATGACCAGAATACCTCAGTATCTTATGCCAGGACTAGCTCTCCTTTCTCATCTCCTGGTAAATATGTCTTTTGTTTTTGGTGTTCTGTATCTCAGTTTAATTCTGATGTTAGGGATATGGAAGAGGCAGCATGGTTTATAGTGCAAAGAACAATGGATTTAGATTTTTAAACGTTGTGTTTTATTCCCAATTCTACTTGCTAGTTTTGTGTCCCTGAGTATGACATTAGGCCGTATGATTAATTTTCTTTATTAGACTACATGAAAAGTCTCTTAGTTTTAAAATTTTATGATTAAATGATTAATGTCTATAATATCTCAGAACACTCATCTATAATATATTTACCAACGTAATATTTGAAAATTTGTGATGTGCAATTGGACAAGTTTTTCTGACATTCAACCATTTGTTCTCAAAATATTCATATCATTTTGTTAGAGAAATTTATAATTTTGGTTATAGATTTGGAATAGAGAAACTTATAATGTTGGTGTTGGAATAAAATAAGAGAGATATGGTTTTAAAAAGTAGCCTTTCCTGAAAACATGATAATTATGTTAGTATTAAAATCTTTTAAAATGCAAGTTTCAGATGCTGCTGAAGGGCTTTCACTATATCTACTTGATGATGAGCCAGATGGGCCATTTTCTTCATCGAGCTTTGGTGGATATAGCCGAAGTGGAAACAGCCATGACCCAGGGAAAGCCAAATCATTGCGGAATAGAGTTTTGCCAGTTAAACAAGGTAGGAAATAAATGCGGGACAAGACATTTATTATTTATTTCTTTATGACAGAAGATAAATCATTTAAAAGCTGACATATTGGCATAGTAAAAACTAGTGTATCCTTATAGTTAATGAGAATTTTGTCACATATGAGTCAGATAGCATTTCATATTCATAACTGGGAACAGGCCATTAATAGATTTCCAATAGCTATTTTCAAATGTATTTTAGTCATAAAATAAAATGTAAAATGGGGCCAGGTATGGTGGCTCACACCTGTAATCCCAGCACTTTCAGAAGCCGAGGTAGGAGGATCACTTGAGGCCAGGAAATTGAGATCAGCCTGGACAACAAAGCAAGACCTAATCTCTACCAAAAAAAAAAAAAAAAGTAAAAATTATCCACATGTGGTGGCACACAACTCTCAGCTACTTGGGAAACTGAGGTGGGAGAAGCGCTTGAGCCAGGAGTAGGAGACTACGGTGAGCTATGATTGTGTCACTGCACTCCAGCCTGTGTGACAGAGTGAGACTCTATCTCAAAAATAAATAAATAAAATAAAAGGAATTGGGAGAAAAAACTAAATGAAGAGTTCTTTCCCCAAGCACATGAAAACACATTTAGGATTTTTCATTTATTAAACCATATTAATAAGAAAGGAGAGTTTCCAAAGTCATCTTTAAATAGGTCTCATATTTTTGTGGCCCACTGCAGTAAAAATATGAGTCTGGACTGAGAAATGAGCCTTCTTTCAGTCAACAGCCGCTTCTACCACCTTCCTTAAGGTTTTCCAGTTATATAAGTCAGATATCCTCTTCCCTAGGGGCTTGCTGTATCACAAAGTCAGTGGTTTTCAGACTGTGCCCTGCCCGTTTCTGGGGCATCCACAAAAGTACTTCAGGCATTCTCAGAAGAACCTTCTGCATTTAACCAGACAGTTCTGTTTGTTATTTCATATAAGGAAATGCTATTTTACTTTTTATTAGGAGAAAAATGTTCACTGCTTGAAAAGAAATCACTGACCTAATTCATTATGTGCCTCTATTTTGGACCATACAAGGGACATCAATTATCATAAATATTTGAAGTTTATTGTTACCCAAACTTTCTTCTTATACTTAGTCCTATATTAGGGACTTTGACTGTATTCAAAGAAAGTTCTAACATGTTCAGCTATTTGAAGTTTGTGAATAATATTTAATATGCTTTTTCAAATAATTTTATTGGAATATACGTTTAATTTTATATACATTTTAATGCAAGATTAAGTAGCTTATCCATTGTTATTTAACTATCAAATAACTTAAAAATAGGCTTTTCCAAAGATATTTTATAGTGGCTATGTAAGAAATATTGAAACATATTTGATTACTTGAAAATAATTAGTGCCTTTGTCTTTCCCAATTTATATCTTTAGTGTCTCCTCTGATCTTGCATACTTATGCCATTGCCTTTTTTTCATTTTACTCTTCCTTCCACTGCCAAGATTAATCCATGTTTCCTTCATCTATTTTGCTTTTCCCATCCACAGAGTCGTTTATCCTTTGTAGTATGGTGTCTGTCCCGACCACTCTTCAAAAGCTGTTCTCGAACTCATCAGTACTCTTCAGTGGCCAGCTAGTGTCGTTTTTTAGTTTTTAACTTCTCAATCTCTGTATCATTGCAGGTTGTTGATTACCTTCTCTATGAACTCTACTCTTAAGCTTCTATACTCTATTGATTAGCTTATATCTTTTATTTCTGTTTCTTCTCTTTGCAGAGTTTGCCACTGTTTTTTGTTTGCTTGTTTTTGTCTTCCACAAATAAAGGAATCTAATGACTGCATCCGTCATCTTGACGTGATGACTCTCCAAATGTATATGCACCGCTTAGATATCTCTTTATTCTATTAGAATAATTTCCAAGTGCTTCCTTAAAAAATTAAAAAATCTTCGGTTGCTTATCATCTTTGCATCTCAAACTTGCTTCTTTTTCTTTGCTCACTATTTTAGTTAATGGTATCACCATCTTTCTTGCCACCCAGCTTAAAATTTCAGTGTTTTTTGACTCTTCATTTACCCCTCATACCTAGTCAGTTGCCAAGTTTTGTGAATTCCACAACTCTTTAATACCACTTAAACCTTCTGTGTAGTTTCTACTGCTATCACCCTAGTCTCCAGCCTAGAGTATTAGTCAGCTTGGGTTTCCATAACAAGATACCACAGACTGGGTGGCTTAAACAGCAGACATTCATTTTCTCACAGAGCTGGAGGCTCGATCCAATGTCAAGGTGCCATATAGATGTGTATCTGATAAGGGCTTTTTCCCTGGCTTCTATATGTCCACCTTCTTGCTTTGTCCTCATGTGACCTTGCCTCTACAGAGAGACAGAGGGAAATACCTCTAGTATCTCTTCTTCTTCCTGTAAGAACGTCAGTCCTGTTGAGTTATAGTCCCACCCATATAACCTCATTTAACCTTAATTACCTCCTTAAATGCCCTAATCTCCAAATGTAGTCGCTTCAGGGGTTAGGGCTTCCATGAATTTTGAAGGGATACAATTCAGTCCATAACACCCAGACTTATTAGATTTATCTTGTAATTATCTTCAGCCCTAATCTTACTTCTTTTCAATTCTTCCAGTCTGCTCTCTTGATTCCTTCCTACCTCACTGGCTGGTCCTCCATTTTATTTGTTGGTTCTTCTTTATCTTTAAATGTTTGAACATCTCAGGTCTCAGTCTTCAGCCACCTTGTCTGTCTTTACTTACTCATTCAGTGAGGTCTCCTAGTTCTCATTACCCTAAATATTATCTCTACTGAAAATTTCCACAATTATATCTCCAGCTCCACCCTCTCCCCTGAGCTCCAGACTGGTGTTTATTTCTTTTTCTTTTTTTTTTTTTAAAAAGTCTTTCCTGGGATCTGTGTCAACATCTAAAATGGAATCTTGATTTTTCCAGTGCCCTGCTCAAACCTGTTGCTCCTTCAGTGTTCTCTACCTCAAAATATCTCTACCATTCACCCACTTGCTTAGACCATAAAACCTAGGAGTCAGTCTTCATTCTGTGCTTGACACTTGACATATGGTCTGTCAGCAAGTCCCATCAGTTCAGCCTTTGAAATGTTTCTCTAGAAGGAAATATTCCAAATATAGTCACTTATCATCACATCTATTGACATATCCTTCATCATGTCTTACCTAGAATACTGCACTGGACACCCAAACAGTCTCTCCTTCCACTTTCAGTCTTGCCTCCTCTGTGATCTTTTTTATATACAGCAACCATACCGTTTTAAAAATATAAATCAGATTCTTTCTCCAGCTCAAAATTCTCCACTGGCACTCATCTCCTACCACTCACTGTTTTTCTATTCCACTATGGTTATACTGGCTTGCTTTCTGTTCCCTCCTCTGGAATGTTCTTTCCCTACATCTGACTTCATTCAGTTATTTCTTCTAATACTACCTCTGTAGAGAAGTCTTCCCTATCTAAAATACACTCCCTTCTACACATAAATACTCTTTTTAAAAATCCTCTTTATAACATGTCTGTGTGAAATTTTATTATTAATTTATCACTTTATTATCTTTCAAGGTATTCCCACTAAAATACAGATTCCAAGAGCAAGGACTGTCCCTTTCATTGCCATATTCAAATCTTCTAGCAATGCCTTGCTAATAGTAGACAATGAATAAAAATTTATTGACCAAATGAATGAAACTAATTCATGTTCTCAGATAATTCTTCCTGAAGTAGGCCCTTAAAACTTCTGCCTAAACCTCATTGCCATCATTCCACCCCCATAATCTCCTCCCCCTCCCAAAAAAGCAGACAAAAATGAACACTTTAATATCTTATATTTTGAAGAAATTTAAATTCTTACTCTGACACCCTCTGTGATTTTATTCCACGTATTTTTGGGAACTGTAGACTGTTTTTGAACCTAAATAACCATTTTGTCAATGTTGAAGCTTAACAATTAAAAATCATTTATTTTAATTTAGATCACTCCCTTGATGGACCCCTTACAAATGGTGATGGCAGAGAGCCCCGGACAGGAATCAAGAGAAAACTACTTAGTGCATCAGAAGAAGATGAAAACATGGGAGGAGAAGATAAAGAGAAAAAAGAAACAAAAGAGAAGTCTCATTTATCCACCTCAGAGAGTGGAGAGTTAGGATCCAGTTTAAGTTCTGAAAGTACCTGTGGTTCTGACTCTGACTCTGAATCAACTTCCAGAACAGATCAAGATTACGTAGATGGAGACCATGATTATAGCAAATTCATACAAACCAGACCTAAAAGAAAACTCAGAAAGCAACATGGCAATGGAAAAAGAAATTGGAAGACCAGAGGCACAGGAGGAAGAGGCAGATGGGGAAGATGGGGTAGATGGAGTAGAGGAGGCAGAGGAAGAGGAGGCAGGGGACGAGGGAGTAGAGGAAGAGGTGGAGGTGGCACTAGGGGGAGGGGAAGAGGGAGAGGAGGAAGAGGTGCTTCTAGAGGAGCTACCAGAGCCAAACGAGCACGTATTGCAGATGATGAATTTGATACCATGTTTTCAGGACGTTTCAGTAGACTGCCTCGAATTAAAACAAGAAACCAAGGCAGGAGGACTGTTTTATATAATGATGATTCTGATAATGACAATTTTGTGTCCACTGAGGATCCTCTGAATCTTGGTACATCCAGATCAGGCAGAGTGCGTAAAATGACAGAAAAAGCCAGGGTTAGCCATCTCATGGGATGGAATTATTAACAGTTAATAAATTTAGAATAACTTAAAAAATTCAATGGCCTTCTACTGCAGGGAATTTACCAGGAAATCTACAAAGCAAGTTGTGTGGGGACTTCTGCTTCCTTTCACATTGGTGCTTTTCCATTTATGCCAGTATACATTTGTTTCAAGACTTTTGATCTCCACACTTCATTTGTTCAAATAAGCCTTACTCATTAGGCCTTAAATTAAAAGAAATTCTGCCCACACACACACACACACAAACACACACACACACACGAAACACAACACAGACACACTACAGATTTACTACATTAAAGGAGCATTCAGCTTCTTAAGAGTAGCATGACATTTTTATCTCAATAGAATAGCCCTCTTTTGCTTTTGTATCACAGAAGTATAGCACCTTCTTACAGAGTTTTATATAGTTTGTTTTTGCCATTTTGATTCCTATACCCAGTAATAATAACTTTTGCACAATACACCAATCCTAAAGGCAGCTATTAAATGTTTACAGTTTCTATATTGTAAGAGCGATCTGGATTATTTTACTCTTCCCAGGCCAAACTTTCATGACTTGTACTGAACTGAAGTATATATTTATACTACAGTTTTTTGGGGGGTGGGGGGATCTTGATATGCTTTTCATTGATTTGCATAATTCACGTTAAAGGTGAGAAAGGGTTGGTGCCTTGTAAATATGTAGCAGATCTTCGTGGTGTGTTCTGATGTGTGCATTAACTTTATTAAAAAAGAATACTTGAGGTATCAATCTAGACAAGGTGCCAAATGCAAAAGTTTCCTGCATCAATTTTTTTTCCTATCACATTTTATTGCATTAATAGAATTTGTGTAGCTTAAATAACTTAAACATTTGAAAAATCCTCATCCACAAAGAACAACTTCTTTGAACAGTAGCTCAGCTACCTCTTAACTACAACTACTGGAAACATTAAGGAAAATAGATGCTGTTATTCCTTACTGACTAAGGAGAAATAGAACAAGCTTAGTAGGAATGAATACCCATAAGTTATAAGCTGAGAGGTTGTTAATAATTGTATTGGCTCTCAAATTAATAATTGTAATTAACAAACTTTCATAAGTATAGTATGCTCTACCTTAGACTTTCTTAGAACATGAACATATTTGTGTAAGTAGACTTGGGCTACTGCTCACATATTTCTGCTCCACTTACCATTTAACAGCTGTGAGTTACTGGTTTTCATTTGAATCTTAAAATTTAACAAAGCACCTAGTTTGAGTTGGAATGTTTTGGCTAGCTAGTATTATGAATCAACTTATAGATTCTGCTCATATCATTCCAAAGGGTTCTTCTGTTCTAGTCTTTCAGGAAAGAACCTTATTGCACTGCACACTGATGTTGTGAATCATTATTTTATAGATAAAAAGCATCTTTAAAAACCCTTATTGTCTTGTTTACAGCAGTAGAGTGCACATGGTTCCATAAGTGAGCTTGAGTTTCAAGGTCAATTTTAGTCCCCAAATTTAATATTACAGATTTGTTGATTTGTTAGATACTTACATTTCTGAGGTAAGAGGGATAATATCAATTTATGTTTCTGTAACAGCAAATTTCTTGCACTTAGATCAGGCTCATGGGATAAAACAGACTTCTTAGTGTATACCTAGCTATCCCAGGATTTTTCTTAAGCTAATGTGTTTGTCTCATGCTTTCAATCATTTCATGCATCTGAAAACCCTTAAGTGCAGAGGAAGGTGTACACACATAAAACTTTGCTTTTTTGGTAGGGTCGGCAGTAGGGTTATTCTTGGACTAACATCTTTAAGCAGTTTTCACTTGCAGTAGAAATGATGTTCAGGCTTTAAGAGAAAGTATTGTTGTGAATTGTTAATGGCACTAACTTCTGTTACTAGACAGCAGACCAAGCTATTTTTTTGTTGTAGTCTTTTTTTCACTAAACCAAAACTACTACTGGTTGTAACTCAGCTGCCACTTTTAACCATAGTAGAGATTCAAAACGTTCCTATTTGAAACTACATTTGGTTTTTCCTAAAACGTGCTGTTTCAGTTATTTATCTCTTGGGCATTTAGACTAAATCGTGCCTGTATTCCTGAAATCAATAATACTTTGGCCTATCCTGATCTAAGTAACATAGTTACTTAAATTCCTGGATATACCCAAATATGGATCACATGTATCATTTTAGTGTGAAATTTTTTGTTGACATTCTTCTATGAAGAGCTGACCTCTTGAAATGTAGAAGAATTGACATTTGTGTGATTTTGGCTATCTGGAGCTTTATTTATAATTTATTTTGAAAAATAAAAATGCCACATTTATTTCCCAAATGTCAAGATTTTCTAGAATTAGATAATTAGAATAATAAGGCTGAAGACATTTTAAAGCATATTTTATATGTAGTGAAATACTGTGAAAATATTAGTGAACAGCACTTTGCTGTAATGTTTATTTCAGTTATTAAGATTTAAAGAGTTAGTCATCAGGGTATGTTAGATAAACATAGTTATCATTTATTAAACAAACAGATAATTTTCTGTTTGCATGCAAATTATTTTAATAAGTGTGAAAAATAAAAGTTTGGAAGATAGTATTTTTACTTTTATATCTGGACTTTTTTCCCCCCAATTTACACTTTGCTTTCTTGTAATACCACCTCCTGTGAATGTGTTGTAATTAGTATCACATTGATTACTTTATCATTTTAATTTCTTTGAGGCCCTTTAAACTTACGTGAAATCTGGGTCCAGCCATAGCAAAGCAAGTAGGAAATGAACAAAGAATTTTGAAGAAAAGCCTAAATCTTAAATTGCTAAGAAAAACCACTGTTATATTTAGGCCCATGAGAGCATATACATGTATAAACCTAATCCTATGCTAGATATGAATAGTCAGTGAGCTGTAATATTTCTCATAAATGCTAATAATGTTTAAATTCCCAGCTTTAAGATCTTAGTGTGTGTATATATTTATAAAATCTGAACTGTGTGTTTCTTCTATGGCTTACTGTGTGTTTCTCTTTCAGCAATAGGATGCTCTCTCAAACATTCACTAGCCTACTAGCCCAATTACTAAATTTTTGTATATGTGTGTTTGTGCACTTGTATATGTGTAAAGTTTTTTCCCCAACTTGACACACCTTATCTCCGACATTGAAAAAAAGAGAACATTTTGTATGGAGGACAGTCTACCAACTTTTTGCCTCTGTACAGCTCTTAGCCTGTATATTTACTGCTTGATCATCCATTTCATTATGCCTTCTAGATAACCAGTCCAGATTTTATCATGTATCTGTGTCCCTCTATTCTTTTTGTTTCCCTTTTTAATTTTTTTTCTTTTTTTTCCCCTCCCCAGAAATCAGACTTGTGTTGGAATTCTTCTCTACAACACTTTGTTTCACCCAGATGCAAAGTAACAAAGTAACTGAGTAAAATTATAAATCTCATTCTGCACAACTGTGTGCTTGGCTATTTAACTCAGCCTTCTAATGCTTTGAAGTACATTTCAGTTATTTATGTTTTTGTTGTTTTTGTTTTAATCCCATAGATTGTCATCAGACAATAATAGAGTGATTGAAAGAGAAAGATGTAAATGCCACTTCTAACTTTTTGATAAAACTTTTTTGAGCATTTTTCAAAAATTTGTGTGTTTCTGGTAATGGGGAATTGAAACACCTTTTGCTTGTTTATGTATGTTGGGAATCATTTTATGTACATTTACCAACTGGTACGTATCTTCAAGTTGGAATTTTCACATCCATAAAAGGGAGACTTGCATCATATATAATTTTCAGTATACTTTGCTGTCCAGCCTTTTAAACAATTACAGTCATATTTTGAGTTCTGAGATGAATAGTTCTAGGGGAAGGGATGGTACTTTTGACATGTAAAGTCCATTGTTTTAAATGCTAACCCCATCCCCAATATTTTTGTGGAGCGTGAGGCTTTATGAAAGGTTTATCAGAAATAGAATATTCTAAGGTCACTTTTATGGCTTGTTTCAAAAATTAGTATGAAAGTATTTTCATGCTTTTTTGTTTCTCATCTTTTAGCAAAGCATCTTTACCAAGTTTTGATTAAATTCCAACATAAAGTTAAGTTTTTTCATGGTGCTATATTTTGTGGAATATGGGTAGCACTCAGGTTTCTTTTCTTTTCTCTTTTCCCCTTCCTTCCTTCCTCCTTTCCTTCTTTCTTTCCTTTGTTCCTTCGTTCTTCCCTCCCTCCCTCTCTTCCTTCCTTCCTTCCTCCCTCCCTCCCTCCCTCCCTCCCTCCCTTCCTCCCTCCCTTCCTCCCTCCCTCCCTCCCTCCCTTCCTTCCTTCCTTCCTTCCTTCCTCACCTCGGCCTCCCAAAGTGCTGGGATTACAGGCGTGCGCCACCGTGCCCGGCCTATATACCCTTATTATTGATTGTTTCTTTTTTCATCTTTTCAATCCTGCTTACTTTTATCCTCACTTTCCTTTCTGCCATGAAAACTGCACCTAATTTACCACACTTAAGATTGGCAATTTTTGATTCATTGATGGGAGAAGTATAGTAGAAAGGCCCTGCAGTTTAGAATTAAGTTGTGTTTGTTTATTTACATGTATGCCCATTTCTTCTAAATTAAATCTAGAATATGAGACTTTGACATATAAAAGCATGATAAGTATTTTCTTAAAAAATAAAACTATTGATAACATAATGAAACCACCATTGGTAATTGAATTTTAAAATGATATGCAAAAATATTTAGAAATCCAGTTGGGAAATGTGTTTTTGCATATGTCACCAGATACACATTAGGCAGTACTTCAAATGTTAACTCTTAAACAATACTGTGGTGATGGCAATCAGTAATTTATTTCTTTGTCCTGTAACTTATCATTCTTGTCTTTTGTAATCTCTTACACAGTATTAACATAACTGTACCTTTTATTTGTTCTTGGTATCCATACATTTTAAGATGGAAAAATCAGTTCATAGTTGATATGATATTGTATATGGGCAAAATGTCCATTAAACTAAAATTCAGTAAAAAAGGTAATCTAAACTGGCTTGATTTATAAAAGATGTTTTGTTTGGCAGTTGTCAGTCATTAATAAGCAATTATCTTCAAAGACAAAAAACTGGACTAATTTGTTGCCATTCTTTATGGGATGTTTACAATAAAATTCCAAGTTGTTTGGAATCAATTGCACTCTTGCTGCTTTATGCCTTAATTTATGTACCAGAGAAAAATTAACCAGAAGAAAGAAATATGGAGTTACCTATTCAGCTTTAGAGATTGTAACATGTAACTCTTAGGTCTTGTTTCTTTGTCATAGAATATTTTATTACTATTATTTTTTAATCTGAGAAACTAGGATGCTTCTTCCTATCAAAGAAAAGGTTTTGTTTTTTGTTTTTGTTTTCATCTTAGACATTGCAAATATTCTTTGGGTCACTTTTAGGATAATAAATATGATGTTTACACTTTAAATGGGGGCTGCTTGGTGCATTCAATAACAGCCTGCAAAGCATTTGTCAACATTTTGTTTTGCAGAGCTTTTCAAAATGAATAGATCTCTAATATATTTATGACTTATGACTTTTAACAGCTGAGCTATATATCCCTGGCATTTTAAAATATATGGTCAGATTACCTATACTGTAAATGGTGCTTTAATTCAGTATAAGTGTAGGAGGGAGAGAAGTGAGGTGAAATGATCTGAATGCTCTAACAGGAACATTTCATAACCTATATAGTTACCAGAATTTGTCTCCCAATGGCAAACATTCCACTAGATACAAGATAAATAAGCTGGCCAAAGACTGGACTGTATCTTTGATGTATATACTGTCTATTTTGTGTATTTAGAATAAAAAAAAATGTATTTAGGACAAAAGTAGCCTGATTTTTTACAATATTCAGAGATTGAAGTGGAGATAAGTTGTTTGGTATTTTGTTTAGTTGCTTAATTGGTTAGAGATAGTCCTCTTTAAGGATATAAAAATCTTACATTAAAAAGTTTTGGTTAAGGCCAGGCACAGTGACCCACACTTATAATCTCAGCATTTGGGGAGGCCATGTTGGAAGGATTGTTTGAGCCCAGGAGTTCAAGACCAGCCTGGGCAACATAGTGAGACACCATATCTACAAAACAATTTTTTTTTTTTTAATTAGCTGGGCGTGGTTGCGTGTGCCTGTAAGTCCCAGGTACTTGGGAGACAGGTGGGAGAATCACTTGAACCTGGGGGGTCAAGGCCGCAGTGAGCTATGATCATGCCACTGCACTCCAGCCTGAGGATCCGTTTTTTTTTCCAAGTTGAGAAGGTCAAGGAAAAGGTGCTCTCCATTCTCTCTCAATTATATGTTCTTGACAATTTAAAGCTACTTTACAAAAATGTGCAAAATAAAACCAATATATTGAGCCTGTGAGTTGATCTTTTAAATGGGATTTTTGGTGGGATAGTTAAGCCTATAAGCTTACAGTGGCTTTCTCAGGTCATTTATATAAATACTTAAGGGCTTTTTAATGCTACAAAACATAGGTAGATCAAACAATAATATTAAATGAAGTAAAATTTTTATGGTATCAATTTTTTCCCCAAAGTTTTAGGGACACGTTTTTCTTTCCTTTCTATGTTACTTTAATAGATTTTTCTTTGCCAGCTGTGACAATTGCCTTAATGAAGTTCTTATCTACAGATTATAAACATTTAATTATAATTATAAAATCTTATAATTTTATTATAATTCTAGACATCTAATTTTAACAGTTATTAATTAACAAATATTTAATTTGATGTTGGAGACTTAAAAGTCTTTCTGATTCTAGTATTAATTTTGAATTGCCGTGTTGCCTGGTCAGCATCTTTGCAGTTCTCTTCAATTTTATAAGTTTTGTAAGTAAATATATGAAGAAATAAAAACATTTTAAATTCTTTAATTTAGGTGACTAATATTAATTGGTGGAGCTTATTCATTTTTAAGGATTTTTGTGGTTGATTTTTGTCATGTTGCAATTATAGTTAGAATTTGTATAACAACATGTTAATTTGTATTGGCAATTTTGTATAGTCTGTTAAGTAATTTAAGTCGAGGAAACTGCTAACATGTTCCGTCCTCCCTTGGCTTTTAAAAAAAGCTTACAATATGTTTAAATGAAATTTGCATACCAAATTGTGTAATCATTTGAAAAGTACTATTTTGTTACCCTTGAGTATTATTCATCTAAAATATTAATAATGAAGTGCTGGTAGTTCTGAATTATTTCCATATGTTAAATTTTAATTTATAAATTAGATTCAGTATTGTTTATAAAACAAGTGTTTTTGTCTAGTCTGACCCTATAGAGCAAAAAATATGCCCATGATATCCTCATAGTCATGAAATTACCAAGTCATCCTTTTACTTTTGTAGATTTGTGTTCATTTTTATTCTAAATGTGGTTTGTCGTTTTCATAAGAAAAAGAAGTTATTAAAACAAAGCAGTAGTTGAAGGTTGTGGTACATACATTTTTGCTTTCCAGTTTTCTCAAAAATTTAAGACTGCTGAATAAAACGACAAGTTTTTAACACTAAAAATACCTTTTATAACTTTGCTTATAAGTATTCAAGCAGAAATTCTCGGAGAATTATCTGAGGTAATGAGCCACATTCTTTCTCTAAACATGTGTTGGCATCTCCTTCAAAAAAGATATTTACCAGCGGGAAGTTGTAGCCTGTTCTCTTCATATTAGTGAGAAGAAACAGCTAAAAAAAAAAAAAAAAAAAAAAGACTGACTGTTTCTACCTAGATTTGTTCACTTTTTTATTCATTCATTCAGCATTTACTGAGTGTCTTCTATGTGCCAAGCACTGGAATTTTATAAAGAGCTTTACTGTTCACAGAGTCCATAATCTCAATCATCAGAATGACATTATCAGTTAATTTGATTTTTCAGATCAGAAAGATGAGTTTTAGTGAAATCAAGTAATTTGCCTAAGCCTACATGGCTACTCACTAGAAAGGCCTTGATTCATCCAGCATATCTGCTTCCAGGTTTCTAGTCTTAACTTTTATTAATAAGATGTTTTGTTCTACTTTCTTTCTTCCCAATCTCTATGAAATGGAGACTTCTAAGTCATGCATGTGTATCTTGAAAATAACCTTTGTTTTTGCTTCTGGCTCAAATCTTTTAATAAAGAGGACCTTGAG